ATATCCTTGACGATGAAATCACTGTTAAGGATGAGTATCTTCAACTGCATGTATGTGTACAAGGGCAGTTGCGCAGCCGGGTTGAGGCCTTTGTTGCCTCTAATCCGACATTCCGTAGACATTTTGGCAGAATATTGACGTTTTTGGTACTCTGAATGATTACCTGAGTTGTTATGAGCAACGAAATCGCCTCTAGAGGGCTTTGAAAATTGTTATGGATTATGCTGAAGAATCATGACATCCACTTTTGGCTGCTACTTCACACATGTAATATGCCTTTGCTGAAATGAGGGAATCTTTGGATAAACTACTGCCTGTTTTGCCAAACAATGACATTAAGGTTCGATTTGAGATTGATGTTGTTTTTACTACAAGTCTCAAAATTCAATGTGGCTATTTTTTTTTTAACAGAAGAAGTATTATTTGTAGACCAAATTACAACCATAGAAGAATTCACCCGACAAAAGGTCAACACAAAATGATTGGTTAAGCAATGATTTTTCATTTTTGCACAACTTCACACCACATGCTTTCCAGCCAACACCCATCAAAAGTTCTAGACTTCCATATTCACACCACATGCCTACCAACTAAAATATTGATGTAAATTATTTTTTTTTTTTACAGTTAACCGGCACGGATCTCATAATGTAGTTTTCGTAACTCAACAATAGTTTTGGTCTCTTTGGGAACCATATAAATAGATTACAATAGATATGTAATAAAAATATATATTAAAAAAAAGGAGATGTGGCATAAGGTATTAATAATGTGAATGTTTTGCGATAAAAATTGATTAAGACATATAGTCAAATGTTTTGACAAGTTTTAGAATAATAAATACTTTGACTCATCCAAATGATTCTTATTTCATTTTCGTGTTTATTTATCGACATCGTAATGATTTTGGACAAAAGTCTTGACATAAATTATATAATGTAATTTTATAAGTTTAACCCAAATTTTTGTGTCTTATACATCATCAATTTTGTGATTTTTTTTTCATATAGCATTTTGTTCGTGAAAGGGTAGCTATTGGCCGTCTACGTGTTAAACACATTCCAAATCATATTTAACGAGCAGACATTTTGACTAAAACCATCTCCAAGGACAAATTTATTCATTTTCACACCAATCTTGGCATGATCCAGAATCCTTCTACGATTGCGGGGAAGGATAGAATGTAATTCGTATTTGATAAGGATTATCTCATATTATAGGATTGTCATAGACTATCGTGTATTCAGTAGTTGATCAAGTCTTGTCAGTCAATTTGTTAAAATGCTTATAAATATCATACAATCAATATAGAATGGCCTCAAGGTCTAAAATTATTTTCAGCTTTTTATTCTTTCACTAATTATCGTCAATTATTCAACAACGAATTAAAAGAAGAACACCAATTTGAAATGAAAATAAAAACAAAAGCTTTAGTTTTCTCACCATTTGTTCATATTCTCTTAGTCTTCTCACCATACTATTCACCTAGCTGTAAGTTGGATCTAATTGAAGGTGATGGTTAATTGTTGTTCGGGTCTACCACTATTTCCGGTCAATTGTTTTGCCACATGGTTCCCATCGATAGAACCGTTGATAGATCTTTTCTTTAAAAAATAAATAAAATAGGGTTGCCATTAATTGAACTTTGGGTAGGTGGTTGATTCGAGGAGGCTGATTGATTAATTTTTTCGGATTTGATTGTGAAATAGTTTCCTAACAACTGCTAGAGATTTTGATGGATAGATTAATGAAGGTCTGTGTTTGATGGAACTAACCGAATCGTAGATGTTAATGTGAAGATGAAATTGTACGTGCTTAACAGTAATTGTAGTGAAACTCTTTTTTCCACACTTTTACGGAAGTTGTAACTGCATAAAAACAATGTGTATGATAAATCATCATCATCATAATAAATATAAATAAATGATAAATGAATATATTAATACGACATTTTTTGTCCCGAGATTATGTAGTGAGCGGGAAACAAAAGAAGCTCTGACGTATGCAATTATTCTCCCTCTGGCTTCTGCAATAATATAATAGATAGACTCTTCATATTTGGTAATGAAATTAACTTTTTTTACCAAAAAATATAATAGATAGATTCATGATTATTTTTATAGGAGATTTTTTATGCATTTGGCTAAAGTTTTTTTTTTTAATTAATGTACTTTAGTTTTTACTTGATATATTTTATACAGAAAAGTTAACTATATTGTGACTCAAATTTTATTTTCTCTCTGCAAGTTGTTTTCATAAGATTAAACTTAGAGTTATTGAATTTGAATATAACGTGAATGATTTATTTTTGAAATTTTCTATAATTTTGTCTATAAAATTTCAACATTTTTTTAGTTGTGAAAAAGATCACATGAAAACACAAATAAATTATTAAATTTTTCTCTTAAACAATTATTTTAGTAGGAGCTAATTTTTTAATGTATTTAGTCAGAGTACTTTTTTTTAATCAAAACCACGTAGTGTTGACTGTTGACTTGATATGTTTTAAGCGAAAAACTTTTACCTGTATGACACATATCTTTCATTTTCTATCCCACAATTATTTTAATAATCAAGAACAAATTGATTTCTAACCAGAACGACATAATCTTGTTTTGGAGGGAAAAAATTGCATGACAACGTGACACCTTTTTCTCTCTCTTGCAATCTATAGTATATATATATATTAATTATACTAAGAGAGAAACCAGAGAGAGAAAATCAAACTTCTTCTCACGTTCACACATAGGACAAAATCATATGTGTCATTTTCCTATAGGTTGACATAAAAAATATTTACAACAATTACGCTAATAGTTCTTTAAATTCTCAATTAAAATGTTATCAATTCACAATTAAAGTACATTAATTAATTGTGTGGTAAACTTTCTATTTTATTTTTGGTGAAATTAAAAAGAAAACGGAAACTTTTTTTAAAAATCAACATTAATGTTTTTTTCATTAAGTGTCATATAAAAAAGGTAAATATTTATTTGATTTAACATTAAATCTGATTGATTTGAAAAGATTCTCCAATTGGCTTAAATAATGCCATTACATATTGATTTAATCATAAACAATATTAATGATATTTTGAAATTCAAAAATAATTAATGCAAAATCATGAGCAATTCTTTCATTGCAAATTCTATGTGTCATTTTATAAAACCTCTTCTAAAAAAACTTAATAAAATTAGAAATGAGTCCTCAAATTATAAAATAATTAAAAAGAGGAAAAACTAAGCCCGTAAACCAAATTTACGCATTAATTTAAAATTTAAAAATTTATTGTCATCCGTAAATTATTCTTAACAAATTAAGGAAATGATATTTTTTGAATTCAAAATTAATTAATATGCCATAGTGATATTTTTTTTGCTTTTAATTATAAATGAAAATCAATCCCTAAAACTATTCTATTTTCCCAACTATACATTCAAAACTAATAAAGATGATTGTATATAACGAGCATAAATAACTTAATTATGATTCCTCTCTATCCGGTTCTATGAATTACGTTATTTTATCAAATTTGAATTTGGAATGTTATTACTTATCACACTTCAATTTAAAAAAGGAATCTCATCTAAATCAAACACACTTGAGCGCTCATATCCCATATACTACCTATATAAGACTCAATCGGTTATTGGTATTCCATTCGAAATCGTGACTGCCTGTGTATTTATATGAAGAAGAAATGTATAATTCTTTTTTGTAATTTTTTATACCTTAACATGCTTGGATCATTTTTCTTTTAATTCAATTATGCAGATGTGCGGAAAAATTTGAAAAACAAGCAAGTTGGAGGTGATGATTACAAGGATGAACAAAGATTTATGTTTCCATTAACTCAACACTTGCATTTCATATCGTAATATTTTATCTTTATATACTATGTATTAATATAAACTTCAAATATATTCTATACTTTTTATATTTCTTATGATTTTTTAAAAATATATATAAATAAACCCCGCACATCGTGCGGGTTTAACATCTAATTACTTATAAGATAACAAGTTTATCAGCCCAGGCAATCGAGCACTGTTTAGCAGGACGTTGTTTAACAATATCATATGTAACTATGAAAGGAAAATTTACAATGAGCTCTTTAAGGCGAATTTATGGATGGAGGAAATAAATCATTGATGATATTTTTGCTTTGAATCTGGTTCTTAGAAAATTAAATTTGAGAAGAAAATAATCGATCCTTCAAATCAAATTACTCTATAGTGGTTTTAAGATTATGCCTAAAATTATGGAAGCCAAAACTACGCTGTATTGTTTTTAAAATTTAGGCAGGGAAATATTTTGTGCAGCTGTCACGTAGCTTTTGTGGCATTTGATTTCAATAAGTGTAAATAGATAATATAAATTCCCACTCCTTAAAAAATTAAAGGAGAATAAGTACGATATTGTATTAGACATTGAGTTAACTAGTAAAAGAACATGTCAAAGCCAAGGCCTCGTGCATGTAATTGATTTTAGTAAAAAATTATCATGTTTTTATTGTTAGATCATTATAATTTTTCGATATCTAATGGTTTTTATTTATTAAATTGTATCATATAGACAAATCTTTAAGCGACATTATAGTCATTCTCCTAAATCAACTAAATTTCTTTTTTTTTGGGTTTCATCATTATGCTCGACCAAAAAGTGAAATCTCACCCCCAAAATTCACCATGTCCTCTAAATTTTCTTCTAGAAACCAAAACATTTTGGTCTATAAACCTGCTTTCTTTTGGATTTTCAGTTTAATATTTGATAAATAGCCATATTAATAAATAAATTATTAAATTTTTTAAATAAGTCCAAAGTCTAAATATGAAATATATGAAATACTGAGTTTGCTTATTTTTTTTATTTATATATATATATATATATATGTACAAAAGAATTAACAAGTGGGGAAAAAATGTTAGAATTGTAAAATTGTAAAAATATAAGATTTAGCTTTCGAGGTCAATTCGCGATATCCATATCTATCAGACATATTTTTCAACTTTCTATCAAGATTTGAAACCTAGAGGGTCTTTTTGCAATAAGTTAAGGAAGCGGAGGTTTAACTATAAATTGTTGAAACTTCCAAATTGTAATCGGCTCAATCTTCTTCTTCCTTTCCTCGCCGGGAAACACAAAGCCGCCGCTAACGCCACCGTCAGTACCGACTGTTTGTTGGCTGCCGGGGTTCTGCATCTTTTTAAAAGTGAAATACAGGACAAGCTTTTCTTTTCGAGGATTTTCAGCATTGGAGGATAATATGTGCTCTCTGTACGAACATACCCATTTAAACCTAAAGTTATTTTTTTTTAATTTTATTTTTTTGCACTTCTGGGTGTGCTCGGCTTCTCCGGGATCCGCCCCTGGATAGCCTGGCAAGAAATCATAATTTAGGGGGGCTTTTGGAGTAATTTGTGTGTTGTGGTTTTGATTTTGACTGCCTCTTTTGTTTGTTTGTTTGTTAGATAAAGTAAACTGTGATTGTTGGCATGACTGACATGGATATGATTGAATCAAGTGTATGTGCTCTCTTATTGGCCGGATATTGTTCATCGTTTTCTGGAATTGGGTTGGAGTTATGATTGTAAACAAAGAGTCGAAGAAAGCAATATGGCTCAGCAGCAATCCTCCCGTCTTCATCGACTGCTCACTTTATTGGACAGTATCCTTTTGCGTGAGTTACAATGTTTGCGATGTACATTTTGTTTTCTTCTGAAATTTTTGTACACTCTGTCAGGACAATATCCAGTTCTACTAAAATGGTTTATTCTTGTTGTTTCATCTTACGTAATTTACTGGTTTATGGTTTATGAGGCATGCCTTCATACAATATACAGGTACTTTTATCTTGCCTCCGTGATACACTATACATGCACCGAATGAATGGTTTGTTTCTGTAGTTACTTCCTCTGTTCTGATCTTATTCATTGTTTTTGAACTGCATATGTTTCTTATCCCGAGATTATGGTTTGTTGTGTATGAGTGTTATGTGGTTGCTGCATTGCCATCAGTTGAAAGAGAGAAATCTGGTACTTTGTCCCAAATGCTTGTTTCTTTAACGAATTCGTAGCTGGTTCAAGCCAGGTGACGAGATTTACCGCAGCAAAGCAGATTGGTGAAATTGCAAAGTCACATCCCCAGGATCTGAACTCTCTGTTGACTAAGGTGTGTTACTTCTTAATGTCAAGTCACCCTTTCTTTTCTGAAAGAATGTTTCCAAGTTTGGCATAAGTTTACTATAGTTTAAGGGTTTTCTAATGTGGTTCAGTCTGACGCTATCATTTATCATCCTAGGAGAACTGCTGCTAAATATTAATAATATTGACAGTCAAGGTGGTTTCTTTTCCTCAAAAAATTAAAGTGAAATGCTATCTTATTTAGGAAGAAAAGGTTGCAAGTAGGAGACGATAAAAACAACCAACCTATAAGAATCATTCACTAACAATATGAACTGTTGGTAAAGTGGGAATATTTATTTCATAGGCTTTTGTTCCTCCTTTGGTGGCAGGGATCTTTCGTTCCTCGACATTCTTTTGGATTTTTTTTTTAATATTTTTCGTTTGGGGTTGGTTCTGGGGGAGGGGAAGGGAGTACAGAGATTGTGGATGTAGTTTATCCTTAATTTTATAAGCATGTCAAGTATATAGATTATATAGGCCATTTGCTGGTGTTTTACGGCGACATCCTCTTCACCGTTAAAATTTCATTTGAGAGATCCCAGTGATTGACAACCCCCAAATTGATTGGGTGAGGAATGCATTTCTATGAGCAAACAGAAACTCTAGACACACTATGTAGCAATCCTTTTACATTTATGCGGAATATCTTAGCAGGCTTTACGTATGTTGGGGGTCCCAAAATGTGCCTTGTCAAGTATTTTCAGCTTTCTTTAAGAAAATTGTGTATTTCTAGCCATACAACTTTGCCCCGTCCTTTCTTCTCAAGTAGTTCTCTTTGCCCCTTCTCATGTCACTTGTTGTGATAATGGAGGTAGATTCAACCGAGGAGCTAAATGCCACATCTATGAGCATGTCCTTAGATCTGGGCCTAGTGGCATATGATTATATGATTAATTCCCTTTTATATTGTTTAGCAACTGGAAATATTTTATTGAAATGATGTTTGGGTCAAATTATACAAAAGAAGCTAATCATACATTTTCCTACTGTAGTAATCCTTCAAAAATGGAAACTTTTCCTTTTCTGATGTATGTTTGATATGTGCTATTCCTCTTCTTTATATCTGAAGTAATGATTGTTGGGTTTTGTACTGGAAGGTCTTGTACAATTCATGAATGTTGTCTAACAATGTAGGTGTCTCCATATCTTCGAAGCAAAAAATGGGATACTAGGGTTGCTGCAGCGCATGCTGTTGGAGCCATTGCTGAGAATGTTAAGCATGTATCATTTTCCAATTTATATTCACGCCTTGAGACGAAGCTGTCAAAATCAGGACTCTCATTTACTGTTGATGATGTGATGGAATGGTCTTATTGGTGCTCCAAATTCTTAGAGAGTACTTTTAGAAGGTAGTTCTACACATCTGACCTGAGTTTATTCTTCTTGCACATGATTCTTTTGTCATTTGGTCATATTATTAGTTATATTTCGGTGACATTAGCTTTCTGTCTCATTAGAACTGAAATGTCTTTAAACATTGCAGTTTTGATCTAAACAAAGTGCTAGAGTTTGGACCTCTGTTGGCTTCTTGGGGACAGGTATTTAGAATTCTTTTTATCATGTTTTCTCTAGGGTTTTCCATACCTTCAAGGTAGTCGGTTCCGTACGTATCGTTGTTATTCTTTGATTGGGACTTGACTTGGTGGTTTGAAGCGAGCACTCTGCCGTAGTATATCTTATTGTTATTTATGATGTGTGATATGGAGAAAAATTGTGTTATATGCATACTGGTTTGTTTCTAATCAATTTTCTGAGTTATATGCTACCACTGCATTATTGTTCACATTGGTAAGTTGGTTCTCAAAGCAATTTCTTTTTTGGGTATACGTGTTCAGATGTTAAGCATCTAGCAAATGGGAGTCTGCTAAAAGAAGGGAAAAAAATACTACCTTATAGATGTTCACTTCAAAGGAATACTTCTTTTGTCATATGAAGAATGCATAGCCTTTTGACAAGTTTTCCTCTTTATAAGATCTCAAGCTGATTTTGAGCACTTATTTCATTTTAGAAACAACCACTTTTTTGGCTTTTGTTAAAGAGCTGGTTACAGTATCTCCTACATATCTGGTTCTACAATTTTTGTTGTATCAGGTAGTTTTGTATTAGACTCTTAAGCAATATTGGTTAATGTTAAACTGGAATCCACCTCTTGCTAAGGGTGAATAAAAACTGATAATTCCTTTGATATCTTCAAAGTTAACTTTGGTTCTTTCTGCCATATGAATAACATGCTTTCTACTGGTAATATTGCATTGGGCAATACTCTGTCAAAAAGAGTCTCTGGAAAATGCACGCAGTAGGTTTTATGTCACTGTTGTAATGTTCTTAGCGTGTGGTCATAGCTCAGTTGGAACTAAAAATGTTAGCCGCATGCTTATGCACTTGAGCTGCAGACAAAGTTTGTTGTCCATTCAGAATGTGTTTTCTATCCCAGCATGATAACAGAAGAAGAGATGACCATGTTCTAGTATTAATAGCTTGTAGGAAATGAACATGTAAATTCTCTTGTAAGGAATAATCTTCATATTTGAAATGGTAGAAGTACTAAATTCATATAGTTGAATGAGGCTGTTAGAATGAAAGTGGGGATAGCACCAATACATGGAAAATGAGAAAATCATGCTTGAGATGGTTTGGGCATGTGGTGTAGAAGACCTCCGTAGAGGCCTCAATTGGACAAGTAGAAACTGTAGAAAATCACTATGTAAGCTTTAAGATGTTAGGGGAGACTTAAAAGGACATAGAAGAAACTATCAATATATACATGATGTCATTAAACTTGAACAAAAATATGCATGTCAACTGAGCGTGATGTTGAAAATGATTTACTACCTTGTTATTGATATAGATTTGGTTTGCTCATGATAGAATCTTGATGAAGTATAGAATAGTAGAGTTGGGTGAGTTTTTTTGTTGACTGTCATCTGGCCACTTTTAATATTGTGGAAAAATTTGGATGAGTAAGCTGAAAAAGATTTTGGTGCCGCAGCTTTGCTCCTAATGGTTAAGATAGTACTTGCGGTTGGAAGTGAACTTTGTGATATGAAAGAATAGTATGATAGATGAAGGTGGTGTTTGAATATTCTTGCTGAAAGTGAATTTCTCATTCATTGCTTAGTGTATTGACATCAGAAACCATGATTTTGCAACTTTCTTTAGGATTGTTGAACAAAGTGTTGCAGTTTCTTTTATCGAAGGTATTTTTGTATATGGCATCACTTTTAGTGTAATCTGTTGCAAAGAGCATCATGCAATTTATACTTCTTTTTAATTATCTATTTCCTTTATTTGTCTGTTTGTCTTTACGCTTTATTCAGGAGCGACTGTTAGTTGGATCATTTACTCCCATCATAGTTAGCTTTTCATCTGAATTTTCACATTTTATGTTTTTAGGAGTATGATATTGCCAATGATGGTAGCAAGAATCCAAGGGAAAGATTGGCTCGCCAGAAACAAAATCTTCGTCGGCGTCTTGGTGAGTTTGAGTCAATGCCTTTCTACAAGATATTTCCTTATTTTCTTTTATATGCAATGTGCTTTGTTCTTATTGGGTTATATACTTTCGTTTACCTAGCTAAAACCTAAGTCTGGCTAGATACCGCCATCTTGTGTCTGAATGTTTGGTTGGGACTTATGCATGTGTATGGCCATGTTGCGTCTCACTAATTCTCGTAGTTTATCCGTATCTAGTGTTGTTTAAGCCTTCTGCACCCACTAATTAGTGATTAGACATGGGTTTACCATTTTCTTTGTTGAATTCCTTTCACAAGATCAGGTGAGTTAACTTCTGTCAGGTCATTCTGCAGTTCTGCAAGGGACTAGCCCTGTGGATTGGTTGCTTTGGCTTTGTCGATTGTGTAATTATGGGCTTTCAAGCATTTTGACATAAGTTTAGCAAGCATATTCACGGAATATGTCAGAAACTGGTAGAAGCTCACTGATTTGTTTTATATTTCTTTGTTTATTGCTTAATTATGGGCTTTCAAGCATTTGTAACATATTTGAGCGTGCATAGACATGAGTATGTAAGAAACTGGGATTTTGTGTATCTAGGTAGTAAGATGTTGAGATTACTATTTGCTATTCATCAGCTGCTGTATGCATGTACTGAATCATTATGATACCAAAAGACAGGTGCTGCAAGTATGAATCCTGTATGGGGCACATTCACGTGTACTAGCTCATGAAATTTGTGATTTCATCTGATTGCGTGTATCTATTTGTTTTTCAGATTTAATCTTCCCATATTTGGTTTTGTAAATTTTTTGCCTTCTTAAGGTTAGGTTTTTAACTTATCGGTATTTGTGTCACAAGCTTCTGGGGGGAGTTTCAGTCTTTTTAAAATATAGTGTTCCTTTATTTCCACAGTAGATTCCTTTAAAATATAGAGTTTCAGTCTTTTGCAACAGGGGTTGAAGCAGAAAATTATAAGTTGTTTTTTTTCTTTTTTGTTCTGTTGATTGAACGGTATCTTCAGGTTTCATGCTAATGAAATTGAGTTTTTAGGAATTTTGAATTTTTAGGCATTTATTGTGGATGCGACTTCTCCTAGAAAAGGATAATCTTGTTTTCTACCACTACTATCAAGGTTTTTGGATGTTTAGGAGCTTCATTTTGTTTCGGAGCTTAACAAGTAGATTTGGTTATGAGTTAGATTGAAGAATCAAACAGAAAGGATCTAAATGTGTGGAAATTCTCTGATTGCACTAAGTCAAACATTCCTCCATCACTGATGCTAATACTGAAGGCTTTTGGCTTTCACCCCTGGTCGATGGACGAGGATTTTGAATCATGACGCACTCACTTGTTTTCGGTTTGTCTGTCAAATTCTAATGGACGTACATGCTTTACTGTCTGTTTGAAATCTGTTTTGGAATTATACTAGTTGATTATGTACTTGAGACGTGGACCCGAATAGAGGTTTTGTTTTGCTTGAGTGAATCAACTGTGTTTTTTTTTCTTTTTCAGATTCTGCGAGATGGATGTATTTAAGTATAGCAATGGTGGCATCAGAAAAGTGGTTATTATAACATGTTTCTTTCACTAATAAATCGGAAAAATGGTTTACTATCATGTAGACTTGTTATAATAAATTTCCTGATTCACTACAAACATGTGCTCAACCAGATTAAATCTTAGCCTGCCTTCTGAGATTTTGAATTAGATAGAAAACTACATTAAAAACAGGACTGAAATCGTGAGAAAATTGCAGGAAATCTTAAAGTTTCTGTAGTATTTATTCCAAGATTCCATAGTAGTCGTCCCAAGGGACTGAGGATCGCATCCAATGTTGTAGTTGATGTAACTATGGACTTAAGAAGTCATAGAGTACTTGAAAGACATGTTCGCCCATGCCATTGTCTTACTCGTTTGTGTATTTTTTTTTTATTTTTTATTTTTGTTTTCAAAGTCTAACTAAATTTTGTATTAGGTTTTGGTCGGACGCTCTATTTGGGAACCACTTTTTAAGATAGAATGAAATGAATTTATATGTAGGTTGAATTTCTTCGTCTACAAGGGTTTTTTTATTTATTTATTTTTTTAGAAAAGAACCCACCCCTGTAGGTCCCTTGTTTCACTCTCTTCAGTGAATGAAGTCTTCAGATTTCAACAAGGTTAAAATTCCTACAGCATTGCCCTAACATTGTGATGCAACCTGGCTTTTCAGTAATGTCCTATATATGAAAGAGTATATGTGCATGGGTCCTAGACACACTTTAATCTCTTTATTCTTTCCTGAATGAATATATTTTTGTCCTGAACTTTGCTTTTTATGTGCCTTTAACTTTAGCAACCTCACTTTCTAAAATTCAATAAACATCTACCCTTTCTATTTGTCTATGAATTCCAGATTGCCTTATCCTTGTGGCAACTGAGATCTGATTACTGTAATCTGTGCCTTATCCTTGTTTGGGTTTTATCTACCAAACATGTGGGGGCGGTGTTGAAGTACTTATTCCAGATTATGTTTTTGCCAAACTAAGCAGCATGCCTACTGCTGTAGATTAGTCAGGTTAATGTGAAAGAGAGTGGGACATGACGTTTATATTTCTGTGCTCATTTTTGATTTTCTTTTTTTCTTCAAGCGGTTTCTGTGCTGCATTTCACCCATGATGCTCTTTGAATACTATGTTTTCGTTATTTTCCCTTGGTCTTGATAGTTTCACAAACTAATGGAAAATGATTACTGTACAGGTTTAGATGTGTGTGAACAGTTTATGGATGTCAACGATATGATAAGAGATGAGGATCTTTTGGTTCAAAAGATCCACTCCACTGGCAATGGGGTTGGTCCCCAATATTTTTCGTCAAAGTCTAGCCGCAATATCCAGCAATTTGTTTCCAAGATGGCTCCTGGAGTAAAATCAAGGAGACCAAGTGCTCGGGAACTGAATCTATTAAAACGTAAGGCAAAAATAAGCTCCAAAGATCAGGCAAAAGGGTGGTCCAAGGATGGGAATGTTGAACCTGAAGCTGCAGTTAGTCATGTAAGATGTGACTTTCTTTGAAATTTTTGGTTGGTTAGTTACAAATAGATGGTTGGGAATATACTGGGGATGTTGATGTTGATGAGTTACAAATAGATGAATTATTTAACTTTTCAGCAATGCATGTTTTTCAGGTTGCATTCAGCTAAAGAACATGACAACATATAGTTAACTAGGCACCTAAGAATTTGTGGTTTACTGTGAAGGTTTTGTTTACTCATTTACCTGTTTAACCAAGTTTATTGTTTAATAACCTAGTTTAAATACTGCAATTTGTACTCATGGATGTCTGAGTCAAGCTATAATCGCTATAAGTAAAATATCTGATTAGCAATAACACTGAAATAGCATACTTGATTCTTAGAAATTGGTACTATTACTCAAAATCTTTTCATTTCTTTTAGCATGGTGAATCTAGTAGTTCACCTATGTAGATTGTTAAAACATAGATGGGAGGTGGTTGGTTGTGCATGATGGTCTACATGCAACATGGGTTACTTTATCTTGTGCTGTCGGATATAGAAACTTAAGACTCCATACTCCATATTTTGGCTGCCAGAAGCTATCTCTTATCAGGGAGGAAGAAAATTCGTTCTACAATTCTGTGATTGAGTATGATGTTGTCAAAGTGCGAATAACTTCTCTTGATGATGGATGTTAATGCTTTCATTTGATTGCGTTTTTTTGATGCAGCAATTTACCGATACTATAGCTGAAGATGACAATGTTGCTAATGAAGATGAAGGTGTTTGGCCTTTCCAAAGTTTTGTCGAGCAACTCCTCCTTGATATATTTGATCCTGGTAAACAGCTGCTGGATTTCAAATTGGTAGCTCAAACTGTTATAAAATATTTTAATCTTGTACAATTTTTGGTGAACAAATTTCAGTGTGGGAGGTTCGTCATGGCAGTATCATGGCTTTGAGAGAAATATTATCCTACCAGGGTGCTAGTGCCGGAATTATTATGACCGAGTTGAATTCAGATACTGTGTCCAGGCCCACTTTAGAATATATAGGTGAAGAGAACACACGTAAGAGATCTATGGATTTGAACTTGCAAACAATGGGTGATGAATGTCAGCCTACTTTTAAAAGACCTAAGATTGAGGTTTTGGCATACCAACTGTCCGATACAGTAACTACTTTCAGTAAAGATGAAAACCTTGGAGTCCATATGAGTGTTGATCCTGCATTGCATTTACCTGTGGAGCATGCAAATGGTGAATCTGCCCTTACCATTAAGGAAGAAGGGGTCCTGCAACCTGACGTTGATGGTGCATGGGATCAAACTGGTGATGTGGGAAACAGTAGGATCTCCTGTGAGGAAAAGGTTTCCTTCGAAAGGACTGACATACTCAATAATCTTCCCAAGAATCCTGAGCTGCTAAACTTGGTTAAACTTGCTAGGCACTCTTGGTATAAGAATTGCGAATTTCTTCAAGACTGTGCGGTCCGATTCCTGTGTGTTCTGTCACTTGACCGGTATGATTTTGTTGTCCCATTGTTTAGTGATGTATTACTTCATATAGGTTTTTACTTCTTCGCATAGCTATACTGGGTTGCAATAGTCTTTTATTTGTTTATTATTGTAACATGTAGATCCTTTTGATGCACAGCTTCAGTCATTGCTTTATTATTTTGCGCCTTCAATTTTCATTTAATAGTTTCTTTCTGCAGTTTTGGAGACTACGTGTCCGATCAGGTCGTTGCTCCTGTTCGGGAAACTTGTGCCCAAGCATTGGGTGCTGTTCTCAAGTTTATGCATCCATCACTGGTGCATGAAACTTTGAAGATTTTGCTTCAGATGCAGGTAAGTGTCCACTAGAGCAACTTGTGGGTTTTCTTTCTTATCTATGGTTTCCATTTATGACATGCATTTTTATTAGTCCTTCCATTTCTTTCAGCGTAGCCCAGAGTGGGAAATTCGGCATGGAAGTCTTTTGGGTATCAAATATCTGGTTGCTGTTCGCCAGGTACATTAAGTCAATATCTTTGTCTAAACAGTTTTTGTGATGATGATTACTATGACTCCTAGTCTGTTCAAGATTTTCTTGGTACAAACAAGGCTATGGTTTCCTTGTGAAATACCCGAAACTAATTGTGAGAGTTTTTTTCGGAAGTCAGTGCCTAAAATATGAGTACAACGGAATTTGCTGGTTGGATGGCACCCAACTTTATGTATTGGTTTTATATACAACGATGAAAATTCAAAGGCATAAACAACACTATTCCCAGTTCTGGATCTCTGGCTTAATCCAAAGAATAAAATAAATGTTGAAGACAACCTGTATTATCATTTGAAACTGGGCAGGGATTCACGCAATCAGGAACAATGGACATGGGGACGGGAAGTTACAGACATCAACCCTCAAAATCAAATGGTAGAGTAACCACCAAGCCCTAAAATATGTGCCTATGAAGAAGCTACAGTCTGAAGAGACTTCCAGCTAACCAAATTCTTGCTGACACCTAGAATAAGATAGCTAGTCCTGAACTATCTCTTATGATGGAAAATTGGTTGATACTGATTCGGACAGCTTGTAGTATATTACCACTTTGAATTGACCAATCTTACAAAATAGCTAGGTGGGTGGCTGGGAATGGAGTGATTAGTAGGGAGGCGAGTTCCCCAGGTGGGAGCAATATTATTTGTAGAAAATCCCTGTTTTCAACCTTTTTTAAAAATTATTATTATTATTATTATTATTATTATTATTATTTTTTGTTTATTGTTGTGATCAATTGTACAATGTTGTTGGTTTACATTGATTTGGTAAGCTGTGGATTAAATCAATAACTGTGAAAAGATATTTTATCTATAAATTCTTTTATTTCTTTTGCCTCGGTTCTAACCTACTTTAGGTTTTTGTGGCTTCAGGAAATGCTCGGGGATTTACTTGTTTACGTCATTCCAGCATGTAAAGCTGGGCTTGAGGATCCTGATGATGATGTAAGAGCGGTTGCTGCGGATGCCTTATTACCTACTGCCTCGGCTATTGTTTCTTTGAAGGGTCAAATTTTGCATTCCATCGTAATGCTACTCTGGGATATTTTACTTGATCTTGATGACTTAAGCCCATCAACTAGCAGGTCATAATCGTTCTTGAACATTCTACTTCTGATTTTCACTCTGACATTAAACAGACCTTCTGTCCCTTCTTAATTTATTAATTTGTTTAGCCACACTTAACGTTGAGGTGCATAAATTTTAGGACCTTTCTTCAAAAATGTTTAATGGCCATATGGTGTAAGCAATCCATTAAATTTGTTGTCATTTTCTGCTAGCTTGTTCTTCCATCCTCCCTTTAAGTGCGAGGTTAATTACCATAGAGAGGTTAACCCAAAATAAAAATGTTTGAAACAAGAGAAATGGGATGGAAATCTGAATGTGTGTGCTGGTTTACATTGCAGTGTTATGAATCTTTTGGCGGAATTATATTCTCAAGAGCAGATGTTTCCAAAATCACTTGGCTCCATCATATCATCTGAGAAACAGGGATTTGATCTAAATGAAATCAGTCATCTGGGCACCATGGGAGAAGAAGTAAATTCTATTGAAAATCTTGATATGTTATCGACATTAGCACCAAGATTATGGCCATTTATGCGACACAGTATCACCTCTGTTCGTTATTCAGCCATTCGAACTTTGGTATATTCTCTTTTCGTCTATTTTCTCTTAGGATGTCATTTACATACAGTTAGCCTTCAATGGGTCCCTATACTTGCTGAAAGTTTCCTGCTGTCAGAGTTGTAAGATTTGTCCTCAAATAAAAGAGTTTGATCATTTGTTTTTCTGGTTCAGGAGCGATTACTTGAAGCAGGTCTTAAGAAGAGCATTTCTGTATCATCTAGCAGTTTTTGGCCGTCTTCAATTCTAGGTGATACACTTAGAATTGTTTTTCAGAACTTGCTGCTTGAATCAAATGGAGAAATTTTGGAGTGCACTAAAAGAGTTTGGGGGCTTCTCCTTCAGGTCTTTACCTGTTTAATTTCCTTTTTCTACACTTTTGTTTGTAGCCAAGAATGTGTGAATTTCCCCTTGCCCAAAGTAGTGCGATGACCTATATGGCGCTGTTCATGTTAAATATATATTCTTATCATAAATTTATTGGTTCATTGCTTCCTGAAAATTTTTCTCCTGCGGTGCTAATATTCTCCTTTCTGGCTGCTTCTTTGTGTTTAATTGCCAGAGCCCGGTGGAAGATTTGGTTAGTGTTGTTGAGTCATACTTTTTCCCTTGGATAGAACTGGCAACTACTTCATATGGTTCAGCTCTCGATGCCACAAAAATGTTCTGGCCTGTTGCTCTTCCTCGAAAAAGCCACTTCAAAGCAGCAGCTAAAATGAAAGCTGTTAAACTTGAAAACGATACTTCTAATAATACACTTGTAGAGTTTTCTGAAGGTACTACATTAGTGGAGAAGACTGGGGATTCATCTGCCAGTGCTAAGATAGTTGTTGGTGATGATGAAGATGTTTCGGTGACCCGTACACGGGTTGTTTCAGCGACTGCTTTGGGCCTTTTAGTTTCTAAGTTGCATGAAACATCATTGGCTTTAGTAACTGATCCATTGTGGAGGATGCTTACGTCGTTATCCGGAGTTCGACGTCAGGTATTAATCAGTCTTAGGACCTGGAAATATATTCTTCCATTTCCCTTTCTTCGTTATCTGAATATCTTTATTTTCCGGTTTTTGGATTAGAATACTTCTGAAATATCTTGATTATCAGGTGGCTGCAATGATTTTCATCTCTTGGTTCAAGGAGTTGAAAGCAAGGGATACGTGTATGTCTATGGAATTCACTACCTCTAGTTTAAGTAGTTTCAGAAACTTTCTGTCAGATTTGCTAGCTTGCACTAATCCTGCGTTCCCTACGAAAGATTCGGTTCTTCCATATTCTGAACTTTCAAGAACATATGCTAAAATGCGAAATGAGGCTTCTCAACTGTACAATGCTGCTGAGGCATCTGGCATTCTTGATCCTCATTTGATGTCTTCCAAAATGGACATAGAAAATCTTACTGCAGATGATGCAATAAATTTTGCGTCAAAACTTTCACCTGTAGTTGGTCAAACTATTGATGGAACATCAGCTGAAAGATGCATTTTTGATGAACTGGAGTCGTCGAAGCATAGACTTTTAACAACAGCAGGATATCTAAAGTGCATTCAGGTGCATTCAATGTCCAACTGGATAATCTTCTCTACACATGCACTCACTTCTAATTTAGTTCCGTCAGCTTTTAGTTTGATATTGATTTTATGTTTTGCATCATTATACAGGGTAATCTGCACATAACTGTTTCTGCATTAATAGCTAGTGCAGTTGTCTGGATGTCTGAGCTCCCTCCGAGACTTAACCCAATCATCTTACCTTTAATGGCTTCTGTTAAAAGGGAGCAGGTAATTTCACTCAGGAACATTGTGGCTGGAAAAATATTTTCTTTTTCTATTTCTATTTTTAAATTTTAATTTATTACTTGGCAGGAAGAGATACTACAGAGTAAGGCAGCTGAATCCCTAGCTGAGCTGATTTCAAGTTGTATTGGACGCAAGCCTGGACCCAATGAAAAGTTAATTAAGAATCTTTGTGGTTTGATGTGCTTGGATCCTTGTGAGACACCTCAAGCTGCTGTTCTTAGTTGTGTTGAGGTAATTGAGGAACAGGAACTTCTGTCTTCTGGAAGCACCTTCGGCAAACAGAAATCGAAAGTTCATATGCTTGCTCCTGGTGAAGACAGATCAAGAGTGGAGGGCTTCATTAGCAGGCGTGGGTCTGAACTTGCACTGAAGTGTTTGTGCCAGAAATTTGGTGGTTTGTTGTTTGATAAACTACCAAAGTTGTGGGATTGCCTTGTGGAAATTCTTAGACCTTATGACTTTGAGGGTTTGACTTCTGAAGATGAAAAGAATATTGATGCAACTATCGACTCAGTCAAGGATCCGCAGATACTGATAAACAATATCCAGGTACTGGTTTTTGGTCTTTATTGTATTTTGTCTCTCTAGTGAATGTAATTATGTTTATCAACTAAAATTGCACATATTTTGCCAATTTCTTACATTAGCCTCAACGCGTGCACACACACACACACACACACACACACACACACACACACACACACATCCACATGCGCACAAAACAATCAAAATCATCTGTCGGTTCCGTATTAATCTTGTTCATCTTTCATGCTTGTAGGTTGTTCGATCTATTACACCTTTATTGGATGAGACATTGAGGCCAAAATTGCTCACACTTCTCCCGTGTATATTCAGATGTGTTCGTCACACTCATGTTGCTATTAGACTAGCTGCATCGAGATGTATAATGACAATGGCAAAATCAATGACCGAGAATGTTATGGGTTCTGTGATAGCGAATGTAATTCCCATGTTAAGTGACACATCATCTGTTCATGCTAGACAGGGAGCTGGAATGCTTGTCAGTTTGCTTGTTCAGGGACTTGGCATGGAGCTTGTACCTTATGCTCCTTTGTTGGTAGTTCCTCTTCTTGGCTGCATGAGCGATTGCGATTCTTCTGTCAGGCAGAGTGTAACACATAGTTTCGCCGCCCTAGTGCCGCTTCTTCCACTGGCACGTGGTGTTCCGGAACCTGCTGGTCTTAGCACAGGTTTAACTAGAAATAAAGAAGATGCACAATTTTTGGAGCAACTTATTGACAACTCTCAAATTGATGACTACAACCTCTGCACTGAACTCAAAGTTACTTTAAGGAGGTAGGCCCAGCCTGTTATCAAAAATATATTTCAAGCACTTTCAGTAACCTTGCAATACATTACATCTTACTGTTGTGACACCATTTCTCTTAATTGAAGAGACTAATCCTGCATTTGCATCTGATCTGTATTTCAAAATACTTGCAAGTATTATGTAGTATTGTTTCTGATGTCCTATCTTATCTGTGCTTGGTGATTTCTTTATTCATGAGCTTGATTCCGATGGCCAATGAGCATGTATCCTAGTATCCGTTCTTCTCCCAGTATTTGGTATTGAGTCAAGGAACAAGCAACTTGATTACAAATCGGTTTGTTCTTTCAGTCTACCATTTGTTGTGGTTTTCTATCTCTCTGCATGAGTCACTAGATTCCGTTAGTCTTTCTTCATTTTCCTTAATGTTTCCATTAGGGTTTTTAATTATGTATTTATTGTTTGCGTCTGTTATGGATACCTGTTCATCAAGGAGCAGGCTTCTGGGTTAGGGTCGCATATTCTTTTCTGATAGTCTTTCCTTCAAGTATCTGGTTTAGCTGCAAGGCATGCCTCGCAGAATAATGAAACCATCTTTATTACAAAATTTTCCCACCTAACTGCTGAATACTGAAAGCAATCACAGCGATGCTTTATAGGACCAACTATTGGACAATTGCAAACATGAAAAATTAGTGGTGGTTGCAGAAATGAGTGCAAAATGAATGAGTTGATATTATGGACATATTGAATAACGAATGATTGTAGTAGTAACATTGGCTCGGGCATTTTTTGGTTTAAAATAAAGATTTAATTTGCTCAATTTATGGAAGGGAAAGACCTGAAAGGCCTGGAAAGAAACAATTTGAAAAAAAAAAGACATGAAAAGTCTAAACTTAAATGGCAATGTGTATTTTGATAGAATATAATATTGAGATTTAATCCGTACAGCTGACCAGACTGAATAGAATCGTTGTTAATTTTAAGTTTTGAATGAGGGCTATCATTTGTAGAGATTTTTCTACCCTATTGAAAGACATTGTTCCTTTAATTTTAGAAAATTAAACTCTTCTTGCCTTGTTTAGGTTGTGGGTTCAAATCTCAAAAGAGGGCAGATTATTTGTGGTCTGCCTCCACTTAAAACACCAAAAAAAATGCTGATGACAATTTCTGATTCTCCTGCTGCCTTGCAAGTTTGAATTTCAAGCAGTACTTGTTGGCCTATTCAATTTTGCCATCAAACTCATTCTTACATTTTTTTAGATTGGAATTAGGGTCTTGGTGATAGGATTTTCACTAGTCTCTCACCTTCTTTCATTCTTATTATGATTACTCTAACCAGCCCCCCAGACTCTGAAGCAATCTGGGGTTTCAATTGTTTTTATTTTCCTTCTACGCCTGTTCAAATATCTATCCAACCACTTATTTGTTAAATAAAATACATCGTTAACAATGTCTCTGCAATCCCCTGGGGACTCTCTATAAAGAACATTCTAAACCTGAGGTCGAAACAACTAAAATGACCAAATATTATCAGTAATGGCTTTTGATTATTTCAAATTTGATCTTGTGATGAAAAATAAATTACAGAAAAGGCGAAGCAACCACTTATTTATTTTTATTTGTTTTTATTTTTTTATTTTTCTCTTTTCTTTCTTCCCAGTGAGCATTAATCTTGATGTTTTTTCCATCTAGGTATCAGCAAGAAGGCATAAACTGGCTAGCTTTTTTGAAACGATTTAATCTTCATGGAGTCTTATGTGATGACATGGGTCTCGGTAAGACTCTTCAAGCATCGGCTATTGTGGCATCTGATGTGGCGGAGCGTGCTTTTGCAAACAGTGACAATCATTATCCACCATCAATTATAATCTGTCCTTCAACACTTGTTGCACACTGGGTCTATGAGATTGAAAAGTTCATTGACAATTCTGTATTGACCACACTCCAGTACGTAGGTTCTGCTCAGGACCGTATTTCTCTGCAGTCACAATTTGATAAACATAATGTTATTGTGACGTCATATGATGTCGTACGCAAAGATATTGATTATCTTAAAGAGCTATTTTGGAACTATTGTATTCTGGACGAGGGACATATTATAAAGAACTCAAAATCCAAAGTTACCATTGCTGTGAAACAATTGAAGTCACAACACCGCCTTATTCTGAGTGGCACACCCATTCAGGTCGGTTTGCATTCATATTTCTAGGCTCATTTTATTGATGTTAATCCGTTTTCTCGGCTAACCTACTTCAACTTGCAGAATAATGTTTTGGATCTCTGGTCGCTTTTCGACTTTCTCATGCCAGGATTTCTTGGAACTGAACGACAAGTACGTGGCGTGCTTCTTTTAGACTGTTTTCTGTTTGGAATTATGTCAACCTTTTGGCTTAAATTTGTTTCAGGAAAGCAAAATTTATTTATTATTCTGGTATAGTTCAGATAATAACTGGTGTCTTAACTGTTTCATGGACTCGCTCTTTTGATAAATGAGTTCCTAGAATAGATATGTCCGACTCTACATTGAAGGATTTGTTTTTTGATAGAAATTTGAGATAGGGAAAGCCTGTAAAATTATCGTTTTAGTTTGTGTTGGAAATTGATCATTGCCTTTGAACTATTTATCTTGTGGTTGGCATTTATTTGTGCAATTTATTTTATTTTATATTTTATTTTTCCTTTGCTTCTTCAGTTTCAAGCCACTTATGGAAAACCATTACTAGCCGCTAGGGATTCGAAATGTTCTGCAAAGGATGCAGAAGCAGGTGCCCTTGCGATGGAAGCATTACATAAACAGGTACACTCGCTTGACAAAAATATTAAATTTTAAGGTTCTGGTACCGTCATAGTGGTAATTCTAAGCTATGGGTAAAAAATTGAAAAGGAAAGAGGACTTAAGATTTCTGTTTTGCAGGTAATGCCCTTTCTTCTGCGGCGAACAAAAGATGAAGTGTTGTCAGATTTGCCCGAAAAAATAATCCAGGATAGATACTGTGATCTTAGTCCTCTGCAGCTAAAGCTTTATGAACAATTTTCCGGGTCACATGTCAAACAAGAGATCTCAAGTATGGTGAAGGTGCATGATAGTGATGCTGGGGAAGTTAACCGTTCAACCAAACCCTCATCGCATGTTTTCCAGGTAATTTCTGTGGCTTTTTTCAGCATTCACCAATCATCATTCCTGATTTTTCCCCCTTCTATTTTCAGGCACTTCAATACTTGCTAAAACTATGCAGCCATCCATTGCTTGTACTTCCTGAAAAGTTTCCCGAAACATTATCACCGACTATGTCAGAGCTGTTCCCTGGTAGAACTGATTACTCTTCAGAACTGCATAACATCCATCACTCTCCTAAACTTGTTGCGCTTCAAGAGATTCTTGAGGAATGTGGAATAGGGATTGAGGGTTCGAATTCTGAAGGTTCCGTTGGTGTTGGAGAGCACAGGGTCCTGATCTTTGCTCAGCATAAGGTAATATGACATCTTTACTCAACTTGTTTGCCTGTTGAATCTTGTAAGTCGGTGCTCTTTTCTTTATTTTGGGTGTAATTGTGAGTGTTCTTGCAGGCCCTTCTGGACATAATTGAAAGAGATTTATTCCGTGTCCATATGAAGAAGTAAGTTTTTTTTTTGTTGTTTAATCATATTTACCATGTGAAAGCTATGCGTTATGGGTTTGTAATTCATCATCTAATGTATCACCTGTGAGGTTTCTAAGCTATGTAGAATCATTCCCCATGAAAATAAGCACTCTTAAGTTAACCTTCTGCATTGCATTTTACCATCTATGAGTTTCGTGAAATGTTGCAGCTTTGTGAATACATCATTCTTCCAGTTGTACTTGAACTTTTTTGTGCCCCGTGGGATAAAGGGTTACCCCCCCTCCAGTGAACATAAAGTTATATATAGAAATAGATTTAAAATGGGCCGTTTGGTTTACAGTGCCTACCATTCGAAGTTTACTATACCTGACGCAGCACCAAACGTGGTGGATAAGAAATCAGAACTTAGGCTGATTAAAGAGTAGTATGCAGCGGAAAATCAATAGAAAACTGTAGGGAATAAGGGTAGAAATCGCAGGAAAACAGTAGGAAAAGAGAAGAAAACCTAAGAATCACTCTTAGGGCCCTTTGGCGTCACACCGCAGGAATCCTAGGCATCACACCAAGGGTTTAGTTGAGTCACACAACTGTTGTTGAAAGCAAAAGCTCGCAGGAATTTTATTAATCTGATAACTGTCCAAAACCCTCAAACGAGGTACATATATATAGGCTTGAAACTTAACCTAAACCAAAGACAACTAGGATTCTCACCTAATTTCCTTTTTATTCCAAGAAAATCCTGCAGCATAACTAATATACTAAAATACCCTTTCCTAAATATTAATACTGAAATAAACTAATTAAATTACTGCTTAATAAAGGATTAACTAAACCAAGTCCTAACACTTTGGTTCCTTCCTTGGATCATGATAATCCTGGGCATAAATATGGAAGAACCTACTGATAGGGTTCTTCTACCATTCCTTGTCCCCATCAATACCACATCATTTTTTGCTCTCACAATCACTTTGTAGATATGCCTTGGCTTGTTTAGTAGAGTGAAAGAATTTTTGTCCTTCCAATCAAATAATTATGCACAACAAAGGTTGAACTTTATCATCCACTGAATTCCCATGTTCCCCTTTCTTTTCTTGCAATAGAATGTCTCTTCACTTAAGTCTTTTAGCTGTTTTTCCCTTATCCACTTATTCTCATATTCCATTGAAAAATCTGAACCTGTATGAAAACAGTAATTTGATTCATACAAAAGTTCCAGTTTACAAAGAAGATTTTGTGCTTTCGTTTATGATGTAAATTTTAATATACTGTATTGCTGTGCTGGAATGCTGGTCTTCTTGAATTAAATCTACTTTTTACTTGCTTACCAACTTGTATTTGTGTTGAAGCAGTGTTACGTATTTGCGGCTTGATGGCTCTGTCGAACCGGAGAAACGTTTTGATATTGTTAAAGCTTTCAATTCAGATCCTACTATTGATGCTTTGCTTCTTACAACACATGGTAAGATATTGATGGTATGGAATTAGGAAGTTAGTTGTTTGGGATTTGAAAACTAATTTGTGCGTGCTGCCTCTTTTACAGTTGGTGGGTTGGGGTTGAATCTTACCTCCGCTGATACCCTCGTTTTTATGGAACATGATTGGAATCCCATGCGAGATCATCAGGTACGAGCAACCTTTTTTCTGGTTTTTTCTCACAGGTTATTACATCTTTGTTGTCAATCCGATCTAATGTTATCTGCCTCTTAAAGCTTATTAAGTTAATGTACTGATCATCATGAAGTTCAATTATTTGAGTGTTACATTGGTAGGATCATGCATTAACCATTTTGAACCTTGGTGTTCGTCTATGTCATAAATGCTGTGTTGAATGTGTTACCATGCATATTGATGGAAAAATTTCTGATTATGTGGAAGGATAGGTCAGAAATTACGGTAAAGAGCTGTATTTACAGGAGGATAGTAACTGAAACTGGAAGCTTATAAGAAAATGGTAGCCCTCTTGATTTCATTTCTTAGATTTCATATGCCAAAAGCCATAGGAATGAAGCCAATATCTCTTGTTGATAGTGAATAACCGCTAAAACCTTTATTTGATTAGCCCTGCGGGGCTATATAATCTTAGATTAGAGACTATTCTCTAGGATTGTACTGATGAGTAAGAAAGTAGCTTCAAGCTAGAAGCTTAATCTCACATCGAAGAGCATGTCTTAAGCATAGGGATTAGTTGCATTAGAATGAGTACCATTAAATCTGTTGGGTAAAGAACCGCAGCTATCGCATGCTGGATTACGGGTTCTTTTGATTGAGAGCTGGGAAACTTTAATAGAAAATGTGGCCAGCCCGGAATTACTTCCCGGAATTACTTCTTCTTTCTACCCTATTCATTTCTCATAGGTCAAAGGAAGCATTAAATTACCTGGAGCGAAGACAGGCCAAATCGGTCTAACTGTAGGTCGCCTATGCAACCAATCCTCGCCATTGGTTTCACATCACTGAGTAAGCATACACTCCCCTCAAGGCGATGAATAGATATCAATCATTCCCTGTTTGACTGGTGAACTCATTACCTTATGTGCTGTAACTGAACAACTTCATAGGACTTGTCTCTGGGAAGCGGGAAGCTAACGTCTTCCATCAACTTCTGAATCCCAAGTTCACAAGTTCCGCAAGCAATATCTTTTTACTGACTCTTTATTATTAGGAGCAATGAAGTATTGTTTTTCTTTTCTCCATGCCCCCAGATTTCCCCGTATCTTGGTGCAAAGGATCAGTTGTATAGCTGCTAACAATGAGTCTGGAAAACCAGCATCTCAAATAACATCCTTCTTAAATAGCTTGCCTTTTCAGGTCTTAGTAGGAGCATGCATGAACTGGCTTCTTATACTCTGCATGCATTATCAAGTCCTTTGAATGATTGAAATAAGGCTTCCAGCTAGTCATAGTTAGTTAGAGGGGATTCAGGTGATGTTGTGGTCAGGTTTCAGGTTTGTGGGTTAACCTCAATGGAAATTTTAAGAGGCTTCTGTAGATATGGAAGCCATTCTGTTAATGGTGGTTTCGCTTCTTTGCAAGACATCTGAGGAAAGAATGCTTGAGGTGGCTTTTTTACCACCAAATTGTAGCAGTTGAGGTCTCTTTATAAGGAGCTTAGTGCACCAAATTGGGAGAATAATGTTAAGAAAATTATAGCCATTTCTACTTCTATTTTTGGTCTATTGGAGAATTGTTGTCGTTTCTCTTAATATTGACAAAAGATAGAGGTTTTACTTTATCCATGACTCATGGAGAGAGAGAGAGAGTTTTGTTTTTTACTGCACAAATTCTCCAAAAATTTTACATATTCTTATATTTTTTGGACATATTCTTCATTCTGTTTATATGCAAATTCTCCAAAAAGTTTGCATATTCTTATATTTTTTGGACAGTTCGGAGTACAGTATTTGCTTCTTGTTAGCCTAATTAAATATTTTTTATGTGCAGGCAATGGATAGAGCACACAGGTTAGGACAAAAGAAAGTGGTGAATGTACACCGTCTAATCATGCGAGGCACCTTGGAAGAGAAAGTGATGAGCCTTCAAAGATTCAAAGTGTCTGTGGCAAATGCTGTTATTAATGCTGACAATGCTAGTCTTAAGACAATGAATACTGACCAGTTGCTTGACCTCTTTACTAAAGCCGAAAATACAAAGGTAAAGAATTGGTCCCAGGTTTCAATTTTTATTTTCCTGTTCCAAGTGATTGTTCTGTAGAAGCTTCGTGCCGTGTTCCTCGTTATCTGTTTATCCACTTAAGCTTGTGAATTCTGTATCTCAAATATCCAGGGAGCAGGTGTGTCGCAGCGTTCTACTGAGAACTCTGCTGGTGAAGGTAACTTACCTGGTGCGAGTAAGGGGCTTAAGAAAATCCTTGGTGGTTTGGAAGAGCTCTGGGATCAGTCCCAGTACACTGAAGAATATGATTTAAGCCAGTTCCTATCGAAGCTAAACGGCTAATTTTTCTCGAAGCCTGTTTTAGTTTGGGGGGAAAATTTTTGGTAACAGGCGGACTGTTTGAATTTGTTCTCAGCAATCTGATAATGTAGCATCGAAACCCCCTCCCCCCCCTCTCTAGTCCCGTGAAGGATACTGGAAATACAGGGTTTTACTTCCTTTTCTAATTTACCTTCACAATCAAGTTTTCTTTTACACAAGGCCATCAAGAGATTCTCCCATAGCAAGTACAGAAGGAGTTTGGCAAATGAGTCGAACCACTGTTGTAGAGGGAGGGAAGAGGTAAATTTTGAGGTTTTGTATATATAGGTTCTAGGATGGTTTTAGGCCAATTTAATTCACATTTTTTCAAGGAATATTAGTCTGAATATTTGATGATAACAAAATTTTGATTTTTTTTTTCCAAAATCAATTGTATTTATTTGATGTAAATTGGTCGAATCAGATAAGATTATATGTTTAGTTAATTTCATTTTTATCCCGGTATTTACTAAAAGTTTTCACAACCGCTGCGAAATGGATTGTGCCTAGTACGGTGAATTATTTAATGTATGTGATGATTTTTACTATTTCTTCGTGAATGAAATTTGCATTTTCATGATTTGGATCAAAGTGTCAAGACTGTGAGTTGAAATAACGGAAAGACAAAAAAGAAAAAAAAAGAATTAATAATTCCGTTCAGATTTTGGTGTTTGGTCTTTTGAAAGAACGATTACTCATGTCTACTCAAACCAATTAGTGTTATTGAAGATACGTAAGCTGTACTAACAGTCTGCTAAGACTTTTTGGCCGGGTCTGAATCCCAATCTTCGATCCCCCTTTAAAATTCTCCCTCAGTGTCACTATATGAAGTGTATATATACTTGTGAACTCAGTGGATAATAATTTTGGAACATTTTATTTTTTTTAATCCCAACAATCCAACCAACTTTTCCTTACTAGAAACTATACAACTAACTTTTCCTTACTAGAAACTATGCTTAGTTACTTGAAACTATTAGCTATGTTTCAACAGTAAAAATGACATTATTACGTTTTTAATTTCGCAATTTATTACTCGAGAATTATATATTAACAAATTTAAGACACAAAACTCTTAATATTCCTTTGGGTTTTATAACCCAAATGTTACGTTTGAGTATTAAAGGTTGACTAGATGCTTGTCCTGGCAAATGTCTGGGGGCGTCCTCCCACCTAATAAATTGATATGTAAATAATCAAAACTGATTAGGAATGAATTTGGTTTTTGATGAAGATAATTGATTTATCGAAAATTAATTTTTTCGAAAGTACTAAATAAGTGGAGAATGAAAGTTCCATTCATTGTCAAATTCAAAATTTGAATGAATATGGCCATCTCTCTTCGTTAATATTGTAAATATATTTTTTGTTTTCAAAAGGGGGTGACACATGGCAGAATGATTTATGCGTACATTTGGAGCCAAAATATTTTAATAAGAAATTGCCACATCATCATCATGTTTTCTGCTTTAATAGAGTAAAAGAGATATCTTCTTACTTTCTTGATTAAAAAAAAAAAGGAAAAGAAAAACATAGTTGATGGAGATTTTTTTGGCCGATCAAATTCACCTAATTATTAATATCAATTTTTTATAATCTTTAAAAAAAAATTAAAGAGGAAGTTATTAATGAAAGGAGATTAAAAGTCAAAGAATTAAAGGATAACCGAACACAATGCAATTACATCTTTTTATTTTCTTGATAAACATAAAAAGATTACTTCACACTTAAAAAAGGCTACCAAACTCAATGCAATTTTAATATAATACTAGATGTTTACCCCAGGCGAATGTTCGGGGTGCCGCCTGTATTTTTAAATCGATTAAATAAAAAATACGAATCATTCTTAAAAGAATAAAAAAAAATAGAAGAATAAAAAATCGATTGAAAGGACAGAAAGTGATTTATTATACATAAATCTATATCCAGATTTATAACATTTAATTTGCAACAGTTAACTTATATCCGGGTTGACATAAATCATAAACCAATATCTACAACAGAAGAATAAAAAACAAATCATCCTTAAAAAATCAAATTTCTTTCATGACAGCTTATTTTGTCTCTGTTGTAGAATGAGATGGATTGATAATTGATGTCAGATTTTTAAGTAATTGATTTAAAGGCCCTGGTGTGAGAGAGGAGCGGAATGGAAGAGATTCTTTGAAATTGGAGATTGGGAAGACATTATTGTGTTTCACTTGATTTAAGGGGATTTCCTTACATTTGATTTTATTAATTAAATATTATTATTTTAAAAGATTAGTATATACCTATAATTAAGATATTTTTATATAGCTATAATTAAGAGATTTATGTATTAATCTATTTCATCTGTTTTTTCTGATTAGTTAGAGTGCCACTTGTCAAAAATGATTTTGTACTGAAAATGACTTTTGGCGGGAAAATTTTCATTGTAGAGCTGACACATGTCCTTTTTGTTTGCTGCTTTAATTAAGTACAATAGATTCCCTCCGTTCAAAAAAAAAAGTCAACTTTTGAGTTTTGAGATTTATACTGTTTTTAGTACAAATTTGAAAACTCAATGTTATTTTTTTTTCGGACAGATAGTATAATATGAAGTATTATTACATACTTGCTTTGAAACTAGTTAAATTATTAATTTCTACAATTGAACAACTAATTACTTTTTTTTCCCCAACAACTAATTACTTGCTAAAACATGAATATAGTTGTGTCACCGGTCACGGTAAAGTTGAACTCTTATGTTACCTTTATTTTTTTATTATATATTCTTTTCAATAATTTTGCAAAAGCTAATATAAATAAAATGGAACACATGTTAAATGCTCAATATTTGTTGCTGATAGGTTTTTGGTTGTGAGAATTAGAAGCAGTTGTAATTCTATGAAGTTTTTGATGTTATTGTCATGGATAATTATGTAAAGAAAATTTATGACTAGATAAGCGATTGTTTTTTGAGAAAAGGACAAAGTTCTTCCCAATTATGTTCTAAAGACTAATATCACTCCGATTTATCCCACAAGAACAATTGCCTCTCTTACCTCAAACCAACGTTATAATTGACTCCCAGAGAGCAAAAATGACAAAAATACCTTTTTCACTTAAAAATAAATTTTTGTGGATAAATGCTACCATTTTTCAAAAACTTATTTTTTTAATAAACCATCAAAAGAGTTATTTAGGGATAAGACATTTATCAATTTTTTTTAAAAAAATTAATTTAAAAAAATTAAATTGAGTAAAAACCAATTAATCTATGATTGGATTTCTTTGTTTGTTTTTTAAAAAAATGATAGACTTTCAACCATATTCTACTTTGATATTAATAACAATGGACAAATCCAAAACATGAATAATATTGAAATTATGTTATTTTTCTGGAAAAATCATATCCTTTTTTGAAAACAAAAGTCAACCCTACATAAATTATTTTTTCACTAATATTAATTATTTTAGACAAAAATTGGTACATATTATTATCCCTAAATAAATTCTTCAACGATTTGTTAAACAAAATAAAACTGTTGAAAAAAAAAGATAAAATGTGGATAAAAAAAATTATTTTTAAGTGAAAAGGGTATTTTTGCCTTTACACACATATTTTTCTTTCATTTTTGCTCTCAGGGGTAAAAGTCGAGTGGTATTAATCCTTAGGACATAACTCGGGGAGTTTGTCCTTTTCTATTGTTTTCTTACAGAATAATTTTTTACCTTTTTTGTGTGAATTAGATGTTATATTTCTTATTTTACCTGAATCATTTTTCATTTATATATAGATTTACACATCCTAGATGCTGCGGAAGAATGTATAAAGTCAAGCGCGCTTTTAATTTGACGACTAGTGGATGAACGTGAAGGTAGTATTAAGAACCATAGGTCAAAAAGTGAGTAGTTAAATGGGAGGGAAACTACGTCATTTTTAGACATTTTACGCGAGAAACCACTGAGAAAATCCTTAATACGCGGGACGGATCCCATCGTGAATCCGCCCTCAGCCTATATATATATGGTGTCCGTCTATATCATCAGAATCCTTTTATTTCAGAGTCTTTTAATTATTATATTTTGATTGATGATGACGATGAGGAAGAAGAAAGAATTGGTGAGGAAAAGGGGATGATATTAATGCCGGACCAAATTACGAGAGCTGAAGCATACGAAAAAAAAGCTGATAAAATACTGCACAGCTAGTGGGCTTTGTTGTGCTTTACTGAAGAAGGTCGCTATCCCAACGTTTTGATACCTTTGCCAATGGAATCAGGGACAAGATTGTGCATGTTATTTCTTCAATGGCCCAATAATGGATTGCTCTCTCCTGTTCAGGAATATGATGATAAAATCAACAACACTTGAAAAACACTATCTTCCTTTCATTTGAAATTATTACACTGAATTTCTTTATGTGATCTCTGTGGTCCCATATATCTGTTCTCCTCCTAATTTCCAACTCTTGCAGTCTGATATACTCTCTCTCACACACGCACACGTGCACTCACACCGTCTGCTTGCTTCAGTTTCTCTATTTGTTTATCTCTCTCTCTCTCTCTCTCTCTCTCTCTCTCTCTCTCTCTTGTTTTCTCCATCTTCATATAAACATCGTTTAGCAGCACCTTTACTTTTCCTTCTCTTTGGAATCGGCTTCATTCTGCTTTTTGGAATAGGCACCGAAGAACTCTTTCTTTCTCTTTTTCATCAGGTAAATGTTTAGTTCAGTCGAGTTCTCGCAATCAATGTGGGGAGTTGAAATTTTCTTTGATAGGTTTTGGTTAGTAGTTTTTGCTTTCCTGTTTTTGCTCCTAAGATCTTCGTTTCTTTTTCCTTTTTCCTTCTATGATAACAAAAGCTAATAGTTGAAGGTTAGCTTTTATTGACGTCTGCGATGATAATTCTTAGTTTAAGAATGAAATTAGGCTTATTGATACCTACATTGCTTTTTGTTTCTATAAAGTTTTCTCCATCTTTATCTAAACAGCATCTTTTGCAGCACCTTGGCTTTTCCTTTTGTTCTTCGGAATCGGTTTGCTTCTGTTCTTCGAAATTGGCGTCGGAACTCCTATTCTTGCTCTCATCAGGTAAATGTTTAATTTAGTTGAGTTCTCGCAATCAATGTGGGGAATTGAAATTTGCTTTGATAGGGTTTGGTTAGTAGTTTTTGCTCTCCTATTATTGCTCCTAAGATCTTCGTTTCTTTTTCCTTTTTCCTTCTATGATAACAAAAGCTGATAGTTGAAGGTTAGCTTTTATTGACGTCTGCGATGATAATTCTTAGTTTAAGAAGGAAATTAGGCTTATTGATACCTATATTACTTTATGCTTCCATAAAGTTTTCTCCATCTTCATGTAAACAACGTCTTTTGCAGCACCTTGGTTGAATCGGTTTCCTTCTGTTCTTCGGAATTGGTGCCGGAACTCCTGGCTCTTATAAGGTAAATGTTTAATTTAGTCGAGTCTCGCAATCAATGTGGGGAGATGAAATTTGCTTTGATAGGTTTTGGTTAGTAGCTTTTGCTCTTCTATTATTGCTCCTAAGATCTTCGTTTCTTTTTCATTTTTCCTTCTATGATAACAAAAGCTGATAGTTGAAGCTTCGCTTTTATTGACGTCTGCGATGATAATTCTTAGTTTAAGAAGGACATTAGGCTTATTGATACCTATATAGCTTTATGCTTCCATAAATTACGCATAAGAATGAAGATTCCTAATGGATAATGTTGTATGTTTCCTGTTGTGGCATAGTTTGTAAGTGTTTGATCATATCCAATATATGAATCAATGGCTACTGAAATGAGGCATGTACTTCATCCTCATGTGTCTGTTTTTGCTAGTTTTACACTAGTGCCAAGTTATCAAGCACAAATCAGACCTACTGTTGGACAAACTTCGTGTTTTAGATCTGTTCTGCTAGGAGGTGAAGCTAGGGGACCATGTTCTCCTCTCTCTGGACAACTCCGTTGTTCTTATACGTCGGTTCTCACAAGTACTGTTGAGCCTAATCCTTTGTTTGGAGCTTCACAAGCTGCCTCCAACTTGCAGCTGCAACTCCCTTACATCGAGAAGGTGCCACCTCAACCAATTATTTTCCAAGTGCTGCCACAGCCGCCTCCAACTATGGATCATGAGGGCTCATTGCCAAAGAAATCCTTGTGGCATTTGAACTCTCTGCAATCAGTACATCGCATATACTAAAGAAGGTTGCTCTAAAGGCTGAAGAGTAAATCACCTTGAAGGTGAAACTAGTCACATGGCTAATGACGGAAATGTCCAAAAATAGTTTTATATTTTATATTTTAAGTAGAACAAAACACACTTTTAGTCCCTAAACTAAGGGGGTACAACTTTTGGTCACCATTAAGTTTTTTATGACAAAATTAGTCCCAAACTTCTCGTTTATTCATCATTATTGATCCACTTAACGAAAATTTTCAAAAATTACTGGTCAAACTCCTTAATCCTTTAATTCCTCATTTTTTATTAATTTTTTTCAGTCTGCAGACCCACTTATGTTTGACTTAAAAAAAAAAAAAAGGGGAAAAAGAGTTTGACCTTGCTCCTCCTTCGCCGCCACCACCAAGAACCCCCACCGCCACCACCATCACCATCTTCATATCCGTCTATACTACTCTTCATGATATTTCATTTTTCTTATATCATCATTTTTCTTCTATCATTATCTCCACCAACTTCCTCCATGCAATCCACCATCTTCACCGCCTCTGCCAAATTATTCCGCTTGCAAAGGCTATTTCTCTTTGCATTAGAACTGAAAATATTAGGAACCAAACCCCACACGAGCATTTCATCAAACAATTGGGTTGCCTTTGCGTGCTCCCCTTTCTTCACCAACCCACGCAAGACCCAGTTGCAGCAAATGATGTCGGGTCTTAGTCCTTCCCTTCTATTTGCTTCAAGACAGCCATAGCCTCCACAGCTTCACCTCTTTTCATCATAAATCGAAGGACGTTGCAACAATCACCCATGTTCAGGACAAATCCCGCTAATGTCTTCATCTCTTCAACAAAACCCAGCACATCATCGTCCTTCCCCTCGAACATTTTGGCAATAACCCGAGAAAAAACATTCCTTCCCAAATGAAACCCGTCATTTGCTGCGGATTTCAGTAGTTCGACGGCTTGATTTACCTTTCTGCCCCGACACAGACCTGTAATCAGTATATCAAGCGTCGAGCATGGTGGTGGTGGCGGTGGAGGGTTCTTGGCTCGGTGGTGGAGACGGTGGCGACGGAGGAGGAGGAAGAAGGTCAAACTTTTTTTTTCCCCTTTTTATTCTTCTTTTTTTTTTTAAAGTCAAATATAAGTGGATCCTGCAGACTGAAAAAATTAATAAAAAATAAGAAATTTAACGGATTAAGGAGTTTGACCGTTAATTTTTGAAAATTTCCGTTAAGTGGATCAGTGATGATGAATAAACGAGAAGCTTGTGACTAATTTTGTCAGAAAAAATTTAATGGTGACCAAAAGTTGTGACCCCCCTTAGTTCAGGGACCAAAAGTGCATTTTGTCTGTTTAAGTATGATTAATTTCCATTTGATGTTTTAGATAAAAATTATATCTATTATTTCTTTGTAATGAATCATAATAAATGTAATATTTACTATTTGATATAATGAATTATATTTGATATTTTATATCTTAAAATCTTTTATAATCTGATAGATGTAATACTAGAATAACAACATGCAATATCTCATTTGAAATTTTGATTTCGTTTTTTAAGAAAAAATGGACGTTTCAATAGACAATGGCAAAGAAATATGACTGGCAAATAGTGCAACTACACATTTAATATTAAGAGAAAAGAAATATTTTTCGTATATCGTAACGGAAAAAACTCATGTTAGTACTATATGTAGTAGTACAAAATTAATTGAATACTACGGAAGAGCAAATGTAATTCTCCCAGGAGGGACTAAATTTTGCATTGATGATGCATTATAATCTTCAAAATATCAAAGAAATTTGTTGAGTTTTAAAGATATTCGCAAAAATGAATATCATGTTGAAACAAATTGTGAAGATAATATTGAATATTTATACATTACAAATATAATTTCTGGATGAAAAATCGTTCTAGAGAAATTACCTTCATATTCTCATTGGCTATACTATACGAATATTATAGCCATTGAAACTTATACAATAGTGAACCTGAAGTTTACTAGTTATGGTGTTTTTGTCGTTTGGCATGACCGGATGGGCAATCCCGGTTACATTATGATACGTAAAATACTAGAGAATTCTATGATCATTTTTTCAATTAAATAAATTCTCATGTGTTGCGTGTTCTTTAAGACAAATTAATTTTAAGACCATCACTAGTGAAAATTCGATTCGAGTCTCCAGCTTTGATAGGTTTTGAGTCTATCAGGAAAGGGCCTGGGCCCAGTATTTTCGTATGAGCCCAAAAGGGTAAGCGGGAATGTTTGAAATGCCAGTCTCGCTTCTCTTTCTTTCAAGTCGCCGTATCCTCCAGCGCCGGCGATATCTATTCCGCCGCTCCGACAATGGCCGCTTGCCGGAAATTGAGGGCGTTCAAGAGATGGATGAAATATCAAGGCATGGATTGCAGCGACTCTCTAGACCTTGTCCTCCACCCCTTCCCCGGCACCGACTCTCCGGCGGCGTTTTCCGTCTCAGTTAGGGCTTTAAGAGACCTTGACGAGGGCGATGTGGTGGCGAGAATACCTAAGCACAGCTGCCTCACCATAAAGAACTCTGGTGCTCGTCACCTGATTGAGGACGCCGGACTCGACGGCTTCTTAGGCCTCGCCGTCGCCGTCATGTACGAACGGAGCCTCGGGCCTCAGTCTCCTTGGTTCGATTATCTGCAATTGATGCCGTTCTATGAGCCGATTCCACTCCTCTGGTCCGACGACGAGATTGATAGCCTTCTGGCAGGCACCGAGCTCCACAAGGTGGGAATTTCCCCTCTTTACTGCTTCCACGAATGTCTTTAATTATTTTATTTATCATGTTTCGAAGGTCACTGACTTTCTTCATTTTATATCTAGGCAGACAATCAAAGAAGACAAAGTTCTTATTTTTGAGGATTGGAAAGAATGTATTGAGCCGCTGTTGATTTCTGCTCCGGTTGAGCTTAATCAGCAATTTTTTGGCGTTGAACATTATTTTGCGTCAAGAAGCCTCATTGCTTCTCGCTCATTTCAAATAGATGATTTCCACGGATCCGGGATGGTTCCATTGGCAGACCTGTACGTTTATTACTTCAAATAGTTGCATAGAAATCTGAGTCCATCGTTTGGTTTAATACTCATTGGTTATCTGTGGATATGCTGCCATCCCACTATGTTCTTTGAGTTACATATGAACTTCTAGTTGATTGGAATTTGAAAGGAACAAAAATGGTTGGTTTATTGAAAGACGAACGTGTTTTTGGCATCTTCAATTCCATGACTAATAGTGCATTGTGGGTTTTAGTTCTGGTTTATCTCGTGTCTCTTGCATTAGAAAGTTTGACACTTCCAACTTCACTCACTTTCTTTATTTCGAATTCAAAACCATGGCAAAACATTAGTTAAGAGAGTGAATGTTGCTTGAGTAGAAGAGTTTGGTTATGTTTTTTGGGGACTTTATTGGGGAAGAAAATGGTCCTGGGGAAGAATTCTGTTCATAGGAGGAACAGGTTGTCTGAAGAAATTTTCTATTTGGTATTGTGAGTGGAATTTCGGAGGTATCTTCTTAGAGGTCAGATTCAACTTGACTATGAAAATTTATTTATTTTTATTATTCTTCTTGAAACTGATTTTTTTCTTCAAAGTTCAGAGGGGTATAAAACAAATAGAGTTAGCATTGCTGGGTAACAAGCTATGCAGTGCCACAGGGTTGCATTTTTTATGGTATAAAATTCTCCCCGCTTAGTTGAAGGAGCATGTTGTGCCTAAGTGAATTCATTTTTATGCTTCCTCAAAGCTAGATGTAGTTGGCATCAGTAGGATCCTTGTATAGCTTAGAACACGTGTTTGTTGACTTTGCAACCGTTAAATTAGGAAATATATTGAAGTGGTGAGTGGAGCCACTGATTTTGTGCCAGAATCTACATGCAACTATTAGAACTCGAGCTAATTTCTGAAGATAAATACTCGCGTATATAAAGTTGGTTTTCTCTATTGTTTGTGAATATCTATTTGATATTACCTCTGAGACATAGTGGAATTGAGGATTAGTAATCTTTGAGATTTATAAAAGGTGAGAAAAAAGCTGCTGAAAGAAGCTGATAAATTTCTTATTTAAGCCTTGTTTGCAGCCTGGCTACAAGCTATTTGTAGTATATTGCTTAATCTGCTGGTTTAATTACTAACTTTTCTCCCTCTTTCACTCTAAATAACAAGAACTTTTTCGAATGGTATACAGGTGGGTTATTTTTAAGTTTTATGAGATTATGAAATGGCTTGAAAGGCTAAATTTCTTTAATCTTTGTAATTTATCCGCGCATGCAATGAAATTCTTATCTCCTCCAATTCATTGATTTGTATCTCCATTCTGTGATCAGTTTTAACCACAAGACTGGAGCTGAAGATGTACACTTCACGTCTTTAGTACAGCATGAGTCCGATCAGAGCGGTGAGAGTGACTTGGAGGACGAAGGATGCGATAACCTAATGAATGATGAATTATCCAGTCAGAAACCTGTTTCAGGAAATGAAAGCAATAGCACTGCAGAATTCGAGTGTTCCACGTCGAGTGACGATCTTACAATATTAGAGATGATTATGGTGAAAGATGTCATGGCAAAAAATGAAGTGAGCAATTCTCCTTACATACATTTACATATCTACATTACAGTGTAAATGAACATTTTGTCTCCTTCTATATGCTGAGGCATTGTAAGTATGTAATTTCCTGTACAAAATTCATTTACTTTCTCAATTACCAGTTACTATTGCCTTGGATATGAGAGTGTTTTCTTAAATGCTTTGGTCTAATTCAACAACATGTTTTATTTTGAAATTTCTTGATCTTTGTAATTCAATTGTTATTCTTTTTAATTGATTGTGAACATATAATACTGGCATTATCTTTTTTGGCACAATGTTTTTTAACATCTTTGCATCGACTTTCAACTTACTTAAGCTTATATAAGTTTTAAGAGTTCTATCAGTTCATCTCCACATCGAAATTTGTTCCAAGTGGATCTTTGTATAACAAGTTGCTCAGACGCTGTGCAGATGTCGGGGTACCTTTACGGTCCATTGCATGCTCTTCTGTGTTTATAAGCTTGCCGTATGAGAAAGTGCTTTCTCCTTTCTTATGAATTTTATTCATGGGAGAGGTGATCAATACTCGTCTGGGTGTTTATGGCCATCCTTCACAAGTATCTTTTGATCCATACAACAAGTTCATCACTCAGTGGTGTCTTGAGTGGATCGAAAGGAGAATATCTCAAGTCATGTTTGCACATATAAGGTTTATAAACATTCTCTTGCATTTTTTGTTAAATGGACTCTTTAACTTGATCCGAGTGCGGCTAACAGTTAAAAACATGGAATGTCTTATTTTATCTGATGATAAAATGACTTTAATGTGATTCTGATCCTTGTCCTTGTACGCTATTGATTATCTTATGACCTAGTTTTTGTTTTATTGTTTTTTTTTTTTCAGGTTTTCAATACCTATGGGTCTTTGGGAAATGCTGCATTACTGCACAGATATGGATTTGCAGAGACAAACAATCCCTTTGACATTGTGAACATAGATCTTGAACTGGTAGAGGAGTGGAGTTCTTTTTTGTATTCCCGTCGTTACAGCAGGAGAAGGTTGTCACTTTGGAGAAGATTAGATTGCTCTGCAGGTGTCGGTCAAGATCCTGAATATTTTGAAATATCCTTTCATGGGGAACCGCAAGTTGAGTTGTTGGTTTTGCTTTACATAATGCTGCTACCAGAGGAAGACTACAATAAGCTTGACCTCGCTATCTCCTCCACAAACAACGCACACACGTCTGTGATTCTTTCTTTGTCTGGGAAAGTAAATGTGGATGTCTCTAAGAACTTAGAGCTGAGTAGGGATTTCTTATTGACAAAAGGCGTTTGTACCGGTTTGTTGTCGCTTGCTGATATCAGGGAAGGTTTGTATGGTCCAAGCACTCTAGAAGATGACATTGAAGCATTGAAGCAGTGTTGTAACATAAAAGAACCGAAGCTTTATCACTCTTTGGTGCTTCGAATTAGCGAGAGAAGTATCCTTCAGAAGTTAAGATCCTATGCCATCACTGCCGCTGAGAGTCTAAAGAGCCGAAGTTAAGATCCTATGCCACCACTGCCGCTGAGAGTCTTAGTATCCTTCAGAAGTTAAGATCCTATGCCACTGCCGCTGAGAGTCTAAAAACCACCTAGCACAAAGAGCCGAAGAATGTCATGCAACAATGGGTAAGGTCCCATATTGACTCGGTAGTTCGTGTCTTGTAGTTGGTAGATTCATGTGTTTTTATCTAGTCGTCCTTGCAATATTTGCTGCCAGTTTGATATGATTTTTTATCTATTTCGTGGTTTTGCATACGAATGCTTCTGGTGACAGCGATCTTGTCCTTTTTTCTTCATTCAAGTAGATTAAACAACTCTGAAGAAAAAGAGGTGTTATCTTTCTCTTGTTGCCAACTTGCCGTGGAGCAAGAGTGTTGGAAGTGAGGTAGAAATGTTGACTTGTAATAATTACTACCTCTAGGCTCTAGTCAATAACTAATTCTACGCAACCAATAAAACAATTCTTTGAAAACCTAAAATTGCTCATAAAAAGAGCTAAGAAAATTATGTCTAAAGCCTTTTATAAATACGAATAGAGTTAAGTAATTAACACAAAAGCAACATATGACATTTATTTTGGAGGCCAACGAATAAGTACAATCAAATTTTGGTTGGTGAAAGCAACGTCAAAAGTCAACCATCACTACGACCCGCCAAAAGTCAACCATTTCCCCATCAAGAACATGAACACAAATCCCTTTTTGTATAATACAATATTGTTTCTGGTGTGATTGTTGTTGCTATAGTGGTGGGAAAAACGACCGGAAAGGAGGGATTATTGAGAGCTTTTTCTCTTTAATGGAGGAGACATATTTCATCTCTCATGGATCCCCAACTCTGTGTATAGATGACTCGCTGGAAGCCAGGGGATTCCTGAAGGGTTTCAGGGAAAAGGTACTGAGCTTGAAGCCCAAAGGGATTTTGATGGTGTCTGCACATTGGGATACCTCAGAACCGTCTTTGACTACAAATCCTGGCAAGTATGATACCATTCTTGACTTCTATGGCTTCCCAAAGCCCATGTACCAGGTCCCTTTCTTTCCTTCTTCTTCCATAATCTCTTGTTTGCTGGCAAGTACAGATATTCTCAATCATCGAAGATGGGTTCTTTGATGATCTTATAATGTTCGGTAAAATTGAGCTGTAATTTTTGTGTTAGATGTTACATGCTTTCATTTTCTTTGTGTTAGTATGGTTGAGTGGAGAAATTGATGAGGAAATTAATTCGAATAAAGGTAGAAGAATTAAAACTCAAGATGTTTGGAGGAAATAAGAAATGAACGCACTGCTGGAATGTCTTGTTTTAGATTCTTTCTATCAGTTGAAAGTCCTGGATTAGTCTTTGCCGTAGAGGTTAGAGAATAGATATACCCAATTGGCTGTGAAACTCAGCATGGCAGTTTCTTTATAGCGACCTAACCTATCGGTCTACAACATCAATCAAATGGACTTAGAAAAAGTTTTTCAGTCATAAATTTCTTTATTTTTACTCCGGAAACAGAATGCATAGTGTGATTATTGTGGTGTGCCTCTATGTAGCTGTGTGGATATGAAAGTCTAAACCTCGCAAATCTGAAGAATGATCAAACAGAACATTTGTCTGTTACGGTAGTGAAGCCTTTTCCAAAGCCAAATAATATTGATTAGAACCTAAGTTGATTATGTGCTCAACTTCCTAGTATTGTTTCCATAAACTTGTTAAGACACTTTTCTCTGAGTGACTGTTTAAATTCATAAACCTGTTATCTTTTGCTTACTAGAATCATGCAGTTATACGATTGGCATCTCTGAAGGAGGATTCTTGTCTTAGATCTATCTGCTATCAAATATCATCTCTCACGAGTTTTTTTTTTTTTAATGAAAAAAAGGCCTAGAAATAGAAGTAGAGAGAAATATAGCTCGAATTTTGGAGAAGAGAAAAATACCGGGATTAGATTTCTGAAATCCGATTTTACACCTAAGTCGGATTACCTTTAATATAAAAAAATTAATTACATTAATCATGATTAACAAAAGATCCGATTTCTAAAATTCGGCCCTGACCTAATAAAAAATAATATTTTTAAGAAAAATACTTAGATTTTTTTTTTGAAAATAAAATTTTGACCAAAGTCGAATTTTAAAATCCGAGTTACCATTAAAATAATATTTATGGATAAAAAAATTTGATTTTTTTAGCGAATTTTTCTTTTGCCTTCCACCAAGATTTTTTTTTATTTTAAAAAAAGAGATAAACTATTTTTCAAACCAGTCTAAATCTGTCACAACAGCAACAAAAACTATTTTTCATCCATATAAATATGAAACACAATAATTAATTTAATTTTGATTAAGTTCGGATTTGCTAAATTCGACATTAAACAGAATTTTCTTTTCAAAAAAATAGACTGATTTTTAAAAGCAAAACTGATACTGACATATCAAATTTATAATTCTTGCAGTGCCCATACCCACACAAGGCACATTACGAGAACGGTGATGGAAGAAAAAAAATTTGGATTTCCAAAATCCGACAAAGAAACTAAAATCGGATTTTGGGAATCCGACTTTCAAGCTAACTCGGATATTAAAAATCCGAAGTTTCTTAAGTAAGTTTAGGTTTTAGGGTTTATTTCGGATTTTCGAAATCTGAACTATTGGTAAAATCGATTTTCAAGAATCCGGTTTTTTTTAACTAACTCGGATATTGAAAATCCGAAATTTCTTATACACCTTTATGATTTAGGGTTTACCTCGGATTTGCGAAATCCAACTTACTCTAAAAATCGGATTTCACAAATGCAAATTTACCTTTAACTCGGAAAATCCGATTTTCTCCTTAAATTGGATTTTGAAAATCCGATTTTCTCCTTAAATCAGATTTGTGAAATCCGTTTTAATTGCAAATTCGGATTTGTAGAATCCGATTTTTGTTTATAAATTTGCTTTAGCTGAGAATTCATAATTCAAATATGATATTGTGTCAATATAATCCGCAAAAATAGATGTATCAACGTTAATGTGATGTGTGTGGTATTGTATAACGTTAGTACGTATGTTATGTAATGAGTAACAGAGTTAACAACACTTTCTAACACTAGTACATACGATATGTAATGAGTAACAGACAAATTGTAATAGATAATAATATTAATGATAGTTATCAATAACAGTATTAATAATAACATGTAACAGTAATACATGTGATATCTAATGTATAACGGTATTAATAGTATTATGTCATGCTAATGTAGATGATATCTAATGAGTAACAATATTAATAGTCCCTAAAAAAATATTAATATTAATGTGTGTCAATATATAATAACAATAACACGTAATGGGTAACAATGTTAATGGTAGTAATGTGTAACAGTGTCAATGATAATACGTAGTACTAGTACATGTGATACCTTATGTGTAACAATGTTAACAATATCAATAATAATAAGTAATAGTGGTATATATGTGATACTTAAGTTGTAATAGTATTAATGATACTACGTAACACTAATCTAGAGAATATCTAATGACTTAGCAGATTTAACAGTAATAAGTAACACTAGCGCCAGTGATATAGCGTGTAATAGTATTAATGTACTACATAACACTAGTACGATAAATAATACATAATACTAATACAGATGAATTATAATGAATTAATTTAATACAAATTTCTAACAGTTTTAATAATACTACACAACACTAGTAATATATATATTTTTTTATCAATGCAAATTCCTAGTAATTATTAGTAATATAAGATTTTATTATTATCATTTCAAATACAATTTTTTTTTTATTTTTTTAAAAGTGGATAGGTGGATTTAATGTGAATTTCTATAACACTCGGGCAAATTTTCAAAGTAATCTGCACATAAAGATTTTTTTCAATAAAAACTAGTTCGGATCTTCTAAATCTGATTTTACTGTTAATTTATTAAATTTTCAAACTTTCCCACCATAATAAATTTTCAAATTTTCCCGCCCTTCAATTTTTTTAATTAAAAAAACAAGGTCGGATTTTCAAAATCCGACCTTGTACTGTTTATTATTTGACCGTTCTCCTAATTTTTTTTACATGTATTTTCACAAAAAAATTATATATATTATTTTATTAGGTCGGATTTATAAAATCCGGTTTACTAATTTAATTAGTAGTTTAATCTCGGTATTTTTTTTACAAAAAAAAAGAAAAGAGAGACCAATAGATGTCTCTGCTCCTTTTTCTAGGCAATTTTTTAACCAAAGCACCTTATCTCTCACTAACTGGTTTGTAAAGCTGCTTACATTGCTATGGGAGACAATGGTTTACACTGGACAAATTAGATATTGCAGGATGTGATCCTCATTGATCTAGGAACTCCTAAGACTTACTAAACATGATGTCATGATTTGGATTTAAAGAAATTAGTTTTGAGCATTCAGGCTTAAAGATTTGGTATGAGATGCTTTTATATGGCTGGAGAAATTTCCTACTTGATTCTTGCTATGAAATTTCAGCTCAAGTACCCTGCACCAGGAGCTCCAGTACTGGCGATGAAGGTGAAGAAACTGCTCACAGCTGCCGGTTTCAATGAAGTACAGGAGGATAAGAAACGTGGTTTGGATCATGGAGCATGGGTTCCCCTTATGCTTATGTATCCAGAAGCTGATATACCTGTTTGTCAACTCTCTGTCCAGTCAAGCCGGAGCGGGACTTACCATTATGAAATGGGAAGAGCATTAGCCAATCTCAAGGAAGAAGGCTACCTTATCATTGGTTCCGGTTCCGCCACACACAATTTAAGAACCCTCAGTTCTTCCAATAATGTTGCTTCCTGGGCTTTAGAATTTGATACTTGGCTCAAAGAAGCCCTTCTGGACGGAAGGTATGACGATGTTAACCACTACGAAGAAAAGGCGCCTCATGCAAGAACTGCTCACCCTTGGCCGGAGCATTTTTATCCATTGCATGTTGCAATGGGTGCTGCTGGTGAGAAATCAAAAGCAGAACTGATTCATCATAGCTGGAGCGCGGGCACCTTCTCATATGCATCCTACAAGTTTGTTTCATCCAAGGAAATGTAAATCTGTACAAGGTGTGTTTTTCTTACTTTTATAACGCACACGTTAGAGTGGCCCATGCGTTAATAGGTGTAAGAGGAAGGTTTGATTGATGTTCAAATTGTTGCTTCATATCAAGTGGAGACTGGAGAGGAAAAAGAACTCATTTGTGAAGCATTGCCTAATCTATTATGTATTGTTTTGTGCTTCATTGGGGAATGTTTTGTTATATTTGTAGACACGAAGAATAAAAAAACAAGATCGTTTATATGATGTTGATTCCTTTCAACCCTTTTTGGAGAAAATTACAACGGTACAAGAGTGATCTATATATACTAGTGATGTCTGGTCGCACAATGCGCAACCCTGGCCCAGTCTATCTGTAGATCTTAGAAATTTTTATATTTAAAAAAAAATTGTATTTGGAGCGATATATTTTAGAAATGTTTGAAGGATTTAGAAATATTTTATAAGTGTGATCATAGAAGTATTTGTATTTAACAAAAAAAGAAATTGTATTTCGCCATGTATGTTTTAGAAATATTTTATAAGTGTTACTTATTAAATATAAATAGACTTAATCGAATATTTGTGTTGAAGTAAATGTTAGACAAAATATAAAAGCATCCTAATAAGTTTAAATATTAGTAAGATGATTTATTGATGCCCTCCATTGGTCGTGCCAAATCAATACTTAATTTGGAGATTTTTAATAGCTTTGTAATAAGTTTCATCCGAAGGGTATACGCTTAAAACAAAATTGGTACTTTGTAATAAAAACCTAATTGATCAATTCAATTTAGACTCCATAATTAAGAAAAGAAAACCACTCTAATTGAATGAAACATAAAGAAAAAATTAAAAAAAAAAACGTGTCACGTAAAGTGCAAAGGGAGATTTAGTAATTTAGTTATGGTTAGATAAAAGGGCAATTTAGTACTTTCCTCATATCACGTAACAATCATAGGAGGTGTTTGAAAGAAGAATTTTTATTTCTAATATAGTAGGATATATATATATATATATATATTAAAGTAGAGTTTTTAATTTCTACTTGAAAGATTTTTAGGATTATCACTCTATTCATCTCTCATTAAATTAAAGTATAAAAAGTTGTAACTAGGTTAAATTAAATTTGTAATTATACATGATTCGATGTCAAAATTATTTACTATATTTCATAATATCATACATTAATATTGACGTTAATTAAGACAATATTTACACAATCAAAGAAACAAGAATTCTGATAATGAAATTTAAAACAAAGATTGTCCGCCAACCTTATTCACACAATTATTCGCAAAATTAAATCTTAATTATTATGACTTTATTTTAATTATATATATATATATATATAAATTAGTACATTTTGGGATATTACTTATTAGGCTCAGTTTTGTTGGAATATCCAAATATATTTTATTAGTTAGGATTAGTTCCGTTAGAATATTTAAGTATTTTTTTTCTTTTTATTAGAAAAAGAAGGACTTACTGAAATTGTTTGGAATTGCATAAATGTAATTTAAGATGATTTTACGAAATTTTTATTGTACCTGTATAAAATTCAAAAACACACATTTAATTGCCCTTAAAACATTGCACATGAGGATTCCTCTAAAGTTAATTCCCTTCTTCCCCACCCCCCAAAAAAAAATCACTTTCTCTGTCAAAAAATAGATAATCAACTAAGTTGGGTCATTGCATGGATCATTAACTTTTATTCTTATATTGTCTGTATATGCCTTTTTTTTTTAAGAAAATGTAAATTTTATATCTATATGCAGCAAAACTCATATTTACAACCAAAAACGTCAAAATTTTCTATCCTTCTACACTAGATAACACAGGGAATAGTTTCTAAATCTCACTCCAGTGGATCAAGATAAATATGAAAAATCCCCTTTTGTTATATATCTCATGTGAATTGAACCTGAATCTATTCTTTGAAAGTTCAGAATTTGAAAGTTCAAAATCTTAATCACTAAATTGTTATTTAATTTTTAAGTTACTTCTTTGGTCCCAAGAAGAAGGGAAAAAAAAAAAAAAGAAACAATCTATCACCAAAACAAAGAAAAATTCTGTGTATCTTAATGATGAAGAATAATTTACTACCTCCGTAACAAAAAAGTTAGTCCACATTAATTTTTCAAATTTGTACTAAAAACAGAATAAAGCTCAAAACTCATTGTGGACTATTTTTTTGGGACGGAGGGAGTACTAATTTTAAATCTTTTGCAGTTCTTCTTTTATGAGTTTTATCAAAATGATACATTTGAAATGATAATCACAAAGTTTGGCATTCGATAGTGAAATTTATGGTATTAAATATTTCCTGCCTCAAAATGTTTGTTTTATTTGAATTTTCACTTTTAATATAATTTCTATTAGAGATAAAAATATAAACTAGAACTCATTTCAAAATGGAAAGGTTTTTTTCTTCTTCTCGAAAACGTTAGTTTTGATTAATAATAAGATATACTTCCTCTGTCTCTAAATTATTGTACACTTTGGATTTTTCTTTTTATTTCAATTTGTACTAGAACTGAAACTCCAAACTGGACAATAATTATGGGACGCATGGGAGTACAATGGTATTACTCTAAATCTTTTTCCTAAATTACTTCTTTTGGTCCCAAGGAAGAAAGGAAAAAAAAAAAGAAAAAAAAATCCATCTCCAAAACAAAGAAAATTCTGTGTATCTTAATGATGAAGAGTAATTTACTAATTTTAAATTTCTTTTGCAGTTGTTTTTTTGTGAGTTGTATCAAAATGATACTTTTGAAATGATAATGTTACGAAGTTTGGAACTCCATAGTAAAATTTATGCGGGAAGATTTGGTATTAAATATTTTCTGGTTCAAAATATTTGTTTTATTTAAATTTTCACTTTTAATACAATTTGTATTAAATAAAAATATAAAGACTAGAAATCATTCCGAAATGGAGCCCCCCCTCCTTGAAAACGTTAGTTTCGATCAATAAGATATATAACGGCATTACTCTAAATCTTTTTCGTCAACACTTTTTAAATTGAATTTGATCATCACTTTTTCGTCATAACCTTTGTAATGGTGAGCTCATTGTGCCATTATGAAATTTCTGTTTTATCTTCCACAACACATACAAAATACTCATTCCAGCTTTAAAATCTATAGTATCTAACTTCAAATTCGAAATTAATTCGGAATGATAATTTTTTTTTTAAAAAAAAACACACAACACATCGACATTAAAATGTAGTATAAAAATAGGCGTGATAATCAGGTAATTTTACACAATAAATTCATTATTTTGAAAACATCCGTATGAACCCTTAAAAAATTTTCACAGGATAATACTAGTAGTTAAAAAGGAAATTTTAGATGGTAATTTATTCTTTTAAAACTGGCCACCAACGTTGTCGTTTGTTATTGGCGGCAAGAAACTCCGCGGGCTCGCGCTTATAACCCTTTTCCAATTAGGAAACAAAACCGCAAATCTTTCTTTAAATACTCCTAATAAAGCCGCGACCTCTTTCCATTCGTAACAGAAAAATGTAAAAGAAAACGACAGAGAAAAAGGAAAAAAAAAAATGGATCTTAAAGTTCGAGTTGTGAACTCCAGTAATTTGCGTGAAGAATTTCGCAAGATCAGTGCAATCATACGGCAGAATCGCACCTCCTTTGTGTCCGTGGATACTGAATTTCCTGGCACAATTCACAAACCCCAAAAGCCGTATTTCAGTCTGACAGGAGAAGAGAATTACTGTCTGATGCGGGACAACGTGAATCAATTGAAGTTGATCCAACTGGGTCTTACCGTATCCAACGAATCCGGAAAACCCATCTGTACTTGGGAGTTCAATTTCAAAGATTTCGATATTGAAAACGAAACAGACCCAAGAGATGCTGATTCCATTAATCTGTTGCAGAAACAGGGCATTGATTTCTTCACAAATCGAGTTGAAGGCATTGATTCCGCCGACTTCGCGAGAGAATTCGCATCTTCTGAACTGGGTTTTTCGCTGAGGTCATTTTTGAGATCTGGGATGGTATCGGAAATCAATCCACATCTGAATTGGGTGTTTTTCCACTCGACCTATGATATTGGATACTTAATTAAGATCCTGACCCAAAAGTCACTTCCAGATCAGTCAATTGAATTTCTGAAATTGGTGAAGATGTATCTGGGAGAACGATGTTATGACCTCAAAGAAATCCTTTCCGTTGAACCTTTCGGGTGGCGGCAATTTGGGCTCGACAGAATTGCTTCAAATTTCAACATTACACGATCTGCCGGACAGAGTCATCAGGCAGGGTCCGATAGTTTGCTGACAATGGACTGTTTCTTTGCTGCAATGAAGGTCTTATTTCATCATAGTGGGGACAACGGCTTAAAATTTGCATTTCAGGGCTTCAACTACAAGCTGTATGGTCTTGACGTAGATGCCACAATAATAAAGAAACTGATTCCAACGGCAAATAGAATGATCGGTCAGTATGCTCCGTTGAATTACCATCCTCCTCCGTATGCCAGAAGACCTCCTGTTGGTCTTAATGTTCCTTTCATGCCAATGAGGAGATTCCCAAGTGGATGCATAGTTCAGGTTTCTACGTTTTTTCCTGTCTTTGGATTGTAGTACAGTATACAAATGTGTACTTAGAGTTTTATCAGTTATAATCTTGGTCAAAATTGTACAAACTAGGACAATATACAAATGCAGACTTAAGAGTTCTATCACTCTCATGTTCTTGTTCAAAATTGTACAGAATTTTATTTTTTTCTTATAATTGAAATCAAATCAAGTTCTCATGTCTTTCAATTAGTTTCCTTCAATTTTTTTTATGGATGTGTTTACGTTGTCTTTTATAGTATGTTATCAGTTAAGTTAAAACCTTATAAATGTGAGTTTCTTTTGGTACTTATTGGTTCTGTTTCGCTGGTTTAAGCTGAGTCTCCTTGTTGATTGTGAAGATATGATATTTTAATTATGTAGTGATAAAACCATGTAGTTTAATTAATATAGAGGATCAGAATTTGTGAACTCAAATTCATTCAAACCTCCTGCAGATTAGTCACTGATCATGGCTATTTGGATATTGGAGATTGCATCTCTCATAGGATACCTCTCCGTTATAAACTGGAGGTATCATTGCTTCTGCCAACTTCATTAGAGATGCACCTTGATGAATTTTACTTAAAGGAGGCTCCTGATTTGGGATCTTTGCCAGCAATGATGCATTCTGATAATTGTTTTGGACCAAGTCAGTTGCTGTTATGGGCGATCTGAATCCTCAGTATGAATCTCTCCAATCTAGAATGCGTCCACAGCCTGCTAATAATGAAGGTTAGCAGTGTGGTACTTCTCAGTTAGTGGCTGCACTACTGCAGGGGATTCCTCCTTCCCGAAGGCTCAGCTGGAAGAATACGGCGATCAATCTTGTCAGAGGAGAACAATTTACAATTTTATTCTTTGAAAGCTCTGGAGAAAGGTGATACTTTTGAGGTAAATATACGCATTTTGCCATCATGAAAACTCTTTGAGAGATTTTTTCCACTTTTTAAGTTGGGATTTCTTGAGGGAGTAGCCATATATTTCCAACATTTTGAGATCCTCATTCTTACTTGGCCAGGTGAATGCAGATTATGGAATGTAATCTACGCAGAACGCCGAAGGTGAAGAAAGATCCTTGGGTGATTGGTACGTACCCTTCTTCCTTGAGTTGGTCTTCTATGAGAGATCTTTAATTTTGTGGCGTACCAGCTGATTGTTGAACATCTTATGTTTATACTTGTTCGATTTAACAGTGGTCATCATCTGCCCTAAAATGTTATATCCTTAATTTCCACTCCAACTTGGTAAGTTGTTAGAAGAGATTGCATTCGTACTCAACAGCTTCAACAGCTTAATTTTCACCTGCTGCAAATGCTTCGAATGCAAATGCAGTTGCACTGTTGCAGAGCAGACTTTGCATACATCCAATGTTTACTTGTGTAGACAAGTAAGGTAGATGGATCAGTTCTGCTTATGCTTCCCCCACAAAGAAATATTCATTGAAACTGTCAGTTTCAGCTTTTGGTAATCCTCCTCTCCTTTTGCTCTTTGCTCTGTGTACGTCTCTGTGCTGTGCGCTTGGTCACTGTCGTATTGATATGCAGTATCCGCCGTTTAGCAATGTACCCCTTTTGCTGCATTTGTTTGGTTTGGGGCCTTGAGGTTGAGGGTGAGGTTTTTATTTATCGCGCTCGGGGCATAGGTAAAGCTTGGGTTTATAGGCCAACTGCTGACTATTGTGTGCATTCATTCAACAAGGTGCAGTAAAATGTTTGTCCTTAAAAGACCTAATGTTGGCAGTTGCATTACATTCTGTCGTGTTTCTTTAAGATTATACTTTTTGGTTTTCGCGAACTATATCTGCGATCTCTTATCCCTTGGCAAGTAAGCTTTTACATTGTTATTACTACTGCACCAAGGCCTCCTATTTGCAAATAATTTTTGTTAGGCATTTGGTTGGATACACAAATGGTGACCTGAGAGCTTAAGGAAGCCACTAGGTTTGATCAGTAATAGAGTTACTCCAGCTTTCTAGATGTTATGCTCTGCTGCATATCCAAACGACTTGTTGATTCGTAGAATTTTGTTGAATTTTAAAAAATTGAAAGTCAAGGAAAGACTAGGACTCTGGCGCAGATAGTTGTAATTAATTTCTGCAACAAATAAATTGAAAGTCTAGCCATTTAATAAACCGGATATGATACTTTTGTTTAATTACTCCCTCTGTCCCAAAATTATTATCCAATTTGAGATTTCACTTTAAGTACAATTTGAACTAGAAATAAAAACTCAAACTGGACAATAATTATGGGACGGAAGGAGTACTAATAAACAATGTAAACTCAGTATGGATTTTAGGCGTTTGTCAAATTGTCATGTTGAAAGTGATATCTTAATTCAAAGAACAAAAAGATATTACTATCTGTCAAAATCAAATTTGGTGAATTTTTCCATCAAAATTTCGCCCAATAAATAAACCTTTTCACATCTACCAAAACAAAAAGCCTTAAACAAAAAGTCTCCGTCTAAACATTTTGTAATAGTTTTTTTTTTTTTTTTTTGAATAACATTTTGTAATAGTTGAACAATGATATCATTCAATGATCTCCACGAGTACCTCTTTTTTTGCTACATATAAAATCCGTAAACGCGTATGCACATACTTTGGGGAAGCAAAAAAAAGCAGTACCACTTTCTTTTCTGAAAATACTACTAATACAGTACCACTTATCCAACAAGATTTGGTATTTTCGTCTAAGCGTTTTTTATTCTAGAAGAATGCTTTAATAATTCAATTAAGACCAAATCAGATTTTGGTTGGTGAAAGCAACGTAATAGAAAATTTGGTATTTTCGTCCTAAGCCTTTTGATTCTATCAAAATAGAAAATGTCCATATGTGAAAAATTGAAGTACAAATCATATTTTGGTTGGTGAAAGCAACGTAATGCACCACGTCACCTAACGTTCAACATTAGGCCCCCTTCAAGAAGATCAAACAATTAAAGTCCATCTATAATCTACCATATATAAATATACGTTGTTCATCTGCACAATCAACCTACATACAGTTAGGCCCCCTTTTGGTATAACACAAAATTCTCCAGATTCCACACCGTTTCTGGTGTGATTGTTATTGCTATAGTGGTGGGAAAAGCGACAGGAAAGGAGGGATTTTTGGGAGCTTTTTCTATTTTAATGGAGGAGACATATTTCATCTCTCATGGATCTCCAACTCTGTGTATAGATGACTCGCTGGAAGCCAGGGGATTTCTGAAGGGTTTCAGAGAAAAGGTGCTGAGCTTGAAGCCCAAAGGAATTTTGATAGTTTCTGCACATTGGGATACCTCAGAACCGTCTTTGACTACAAATCCTGGCAAGTATGATACCATTCATGACTTCTATGGCTTCCCCAAGCCCATGTACCAGGTCCCCTTTCTTTCCTTCTTCTTCCATCATCTCTTGTTTGCTTGCAAGTACATCGAATTTCAATCATCAAAGATAGGTTCTTTTGCTTCATATTTATTTCAGTCATTGAAGCCTGTAAAAGTTCTTTTGCAAAGCATTTTACTTAAAAATTAGTAATTGGTAAGGATGGAGGTGAAGGTACTACTGTTTTTTCATATTTATTTCAGCCATTGAAGCTTTTAAAAGTTCTTTCGAACAGAGTATTTTACTTAAAAATTAGTAATTGGTGAGAATGGGGATGAATGTACTACTGTTTTGTGTACCTTTGGTTACATCAAGCATGATCTTTTAAATTTTAATGTTCAGTACAACTGAGCTGTAATTTTTGTGTTAGGTGTTACAAACTTTCATTTGGTGTGTGTTAGTATGGTTGAGTGGAGAAATTGATGGTAGGAATGAATCCGAATGAAGGTAGAAGAATTAAAACTGAAGATGTTTGGTGGAAATAAGAAATGAACACACTGCTGGAATGTCTTTTTTTAGATTCTTTCTATCAGTTGAAGTCCTGGATTAGTCTTGCCGTAGAGGCTAGAGAATAGATACCCAATCGGGTCTGAAACTCAGCACTCAGCAGTTTTTTTTTTATTTTTTTATAGAGACCTAACCTATGGGTCTACAACATCACTCAAATGGACTTGGAACAAGATTTTCAGTCATAAATTTCTTTATTTTTACGCCTCCGAAAACAGAATGCATATTGTGATTATGGTGGTTTGCCTCCATGTAGCTGTGTGGATATGAAAGTTTAAACCTCGCAAATCTGAAGAATGATCAAACAGAACATTTGCCCGGTATGGTACTGAAGCAATTTCCAAAGCCAAATAATATTGATTAGAACATAAGTTGATAATGTGCTCACCTTCCTGGTATTGTTTCCATAAACTTCTTAAAACACTTTTCTCTGAGTGACTCTGTTTAAATTCAGAAACCTGTTATCTTTTGCTAACTAGAATCAGGCACTTATACAATTGGCATCTTTGAAGGAGGATTCCTGTCTTAGATCTATCTGCTAGCTAGTATTATCTCACACTAACTGGTTTGTGAAGCTGCTTACATTGCTAGGAGAGACAATGGTTTACCCTGGACAAATTAGATATTGCAGTATACGATCCTCATTGATATAGGGACACCTAACACTTACTGAACATGATATCATTATTTAGAGCTAAAGAAATTAATTTTGAGCATTCGGGCATAAAGATTAGGTATGATATGCATTTATATGACTCGAGAATTTTCCTAATTGATTCGTGCTCTGACATTTCAGCTCAAGTATCCTGCACCAGGAGCTCCGGAACTGGCAATGAAGGTGAAGGAACTGTTCACAGCTGCCGGCTTCAATGAAGTAAAGGAGGATAAGAAACGTGGTTTGGATCATGGAGCATGGGTTCCCCTCATGCTTATGTATCCAGAAGCTGATATACCTGTTTGTCAACTCTCTGTCCAGTCAAGCCGGAGCGGGACTTACCATTATGAAATGGGAAGAGCATTAGCCCCTCTCAAGGAAGAAGGCTACCTTATCATTGGTTCCGGTTCTGCCACACACAATTTAAGAACCCTCCGCTCCTCCACTACTGTTGCTTCCTGGGCTTTAGAATTTGATACTTGGCTCAAAGAAGCCCTTCTGGACGGAAGGTATGATGATGTTAACCACTACGAAGAGAAGGCGCCAAATGCAAGAACTGCTCACCCTTGGCCGGAACATTTTTATCCATTGCATGTGGCAATGGGTGCTGCTGGTGAGAAATCAAAAGCAGAACTGATTCATCATAGCTGGAGCTTGGGCACCCTCTCATATGCTTCCTACAAGTTTGTTTCATCCATGTAAATCTGTACAAGTGTATTTTTCTTACTTTTATAGCGATCGCACATTCGCACACATGACAAGCACCCATGGTTTTTTTTTTTTTTTTTTTTTTAAATGGTGGTTTTTCATTTATCCCGGCGTGTCTGCACCTCGTTGTCCGTTACAAGCACCTATGTATAGAAAGGTTAAAAGAAAAAAGAAGTGTTTGATTGATGTTCAAATTGTTGCTTCATGGCATCATTATCAAGTGGCATCATTATTAGGCATCATCATTGCCTAATATATTGTGTCGTGTTTTGTGCCTTCTCTTTGTCATGATCACAGAGGTCAGAGTGAACTAACTTAAGGAGTACTTGAAGTTTGAATGAATTTGTTCGTTTAAATGATTGACAAATGTTGTGTTACATATGGAAACACGAATAATAAATTAACGAGATCATTTATATGATGTTGGATCCCTTTTCACCCTTTTTGGAGGAACTTTCAACTGTGTAAAAGTAATTAGTAGTAACAAATAGGAGGAAAAAAGAAGAAACAAAAAGAGTAACATTTCTGGTCACATATTGAAATGAACATTTTCGGGTTTCATTTCTTCATCAATGGCAGTGTAATTTTTTTTTCCCTTAAATTTGATAGAAAGCATTAATCGAAATGTGATATTAGTAGGATGATGGATTATTTTTGATACTTTTATTTTAGATTCGGCACGCCACTAGTAATTCACGTGTCTATTTTTGAAAAAAAGAAACAAAAGAAGTCACACTCTCCTTGTCGTGTAGCGTACTCGTTAGCAATAAGGTGAGTTTGTGGCGGAATAGAATTTTAGATCAGGGAATGAGAAATAAAATTGAGAGAGTAAGTGTGCTTCATTAATATTTTATACATTTTGTCACTAAAAATTATAATGTTTTGTGGTTCAAATTTGTTTATATTATAAGATGTCTCGGCAATTCTACGAAAAACAAATTTTATACTATTTGACCAACTTTTTATACAACTGAAAAAAAGAGGACCATAGTTCCCTCTTTTGCACTAAAACCACAACAAGAAAAAAAATTTTAAAAAATACTCCCTCCGTCCCATAATTATTGTCTAGTTCGAAATTTTCATTTTAGTTCAAATTATACTAAAAGTGAAATCTCAAACTCGACAATAATCTTGGGACAATAATCTTGGGACAGAGGGTATAGATAAATCTCAAAAAAAAAAAAATCAAAAAAATAATGACGTCGTTCGGTTAGGGCGGCAAGGAAGCAAGCGCTCGTAATCCTATTCCAATTAGGAAACAAAATTGCATATGACCGCCAATCCTTCTTTAAATATTACATTCATTCATCCACTCACTCCATTCATTAGTGTTTACAGAAAAAACGTAGAAAGGGAAAGTGAGAAAGAAAAATGGATCTTAAAGTTCGAGTTGTGAACTCCAGTAATTTGCGGGAAGAGTTTCGAAAGATCAGCGCTATTATACGGCAGAATCGCACCTCCTTTGTGTCCGTGGATACTGAATTTCCTAGCACAATTCACAAACCCCAAAAGCCATACTTCAGACTGACGGGAGAAGAGAATTACTGTCTGATGCGGGACAACGTGAATCAACTCAAGCTGATCCAACTGGGTCTTACTGTATCCAACGAATCTGGAAAACCCATCTGCACTTAGGAATTTGATTTCAAAGATTTCGATGTTGAAAGCGAAAGCAACCCAAGGGATGCTGATTCCATTAAACTGTTGCAGAAACAGGGCATCGATTTCTTCACCAATCGAGTTGAAGGCATTAGTTCCGCTAACTTCGCCAGGGAATTGGCATCTTCTGAACTGGGTTTTCCCGTGAGATCGTTTTTGGCATCTGGGATGATCTCGGAATGCAATCCGCATCTGAATTGGGTGTTTTTCCACTCGACCTATGATATTGGACACTTAATTAAGATCCTGACCCAAAAGTCACTTCCAGATCAGTCAATTGAATTTCTGAAATTGGTGAAGATGTATCTGGGAGAACGATGTTATGACCTCAAAGAAATCCTTTCAGTTGAACCTTTCTGGTGGCGGCAATGTGGGCTCGACAGAGTTGCTTCAAATTTCAACATTAAACTATCTGCCGGACAGAGTCATCAGGCAGGGTCCGATAGTTTGCTGACAATGGACTGTTTCTTTGCTGCAATGAAGGTCTTATTTCATCATAGAGGGGACAGTGGCTTAAAATTTGCATTTCAGGCCTTCAACTAGAAGCTTTATGGTCTTGACGTAGATGCTATAATAATAAGGAACCAATGGCAAATAGAATGATGGGTCGGTATGATCCGGTGAATTACCATCCTCCTCCATATGCCAGAAGACCTCCTGTTGGTCTTCATGTTCCTTTCATGCCAATAAGGAGATTCCCAAGTGGATGCACAGTTCAGGTTCCAGTTTTTTTCCCAATCATTGGATTGTAGTATTGTTAACTTAGGATTTTATTAGGTATAGTCTTGGTGAAAATTGTACAAAATAGTACAATATACAAATGGACTTAGAGCACTTGTGTTCTTGCTCAAAGTGGTACAAAATCTAGATTTGTCTTCATAATTCAAATCAAATCAAATTCTCATTTCTTCCAACTAGTTTCTTTCAAGCTTATGGATGTTCTTGTGCTGTCTTTTATGGTATTAAATCATTCATGGTTAAAACTTTTAAATGTGAGCTTCTCGTGATACTTATTGGTTCTGTTATCTTGGTTAAAGCAGAGTTTCCTTCTTGTAGATAGTGAAGATCTAATATTTTGGTTATGTAGTGATAAAACCAAGCAGTTTGTTTCATATAGAGAATCTGAAGTTGTGAACTCGAATTCATTTAAAACTCTTGCAGTTTAGTTACTGATCCTGGCTATTTGGATATGAGAGATGGCACCTCTTACAGTATCCCTCCCGCATGATATCTTTTTTTGTGGCATTATTGCACTTGCCAAGTTTATTAGAGATCCATGTTGATGAATTTTTAAAGGGGACTCTTGCTTTGGGATATTCAACAGCAATGATGCCTTCCGACAATTGTTTTGGTACCAAGAGTGTGGCTGGTACGGTGATTGGGTTGGACAACAAGAGCGAACAGTGCTCCGGAAGAACATCAACCCGAATCGTCTTTACTGGCAGTATGCAATCAGTTAAGTTAAAAGCTTCAAAATGTGAGTTTCTGTTGATACTTAGAGTTTCTGTACTGCTGGTTTAAGTAGAGTTTCCATTGTGAAGATCTGATTTTCTCGGTTATATAGTGATGAACCTCATGGTACTTTGCTTGGATGCAGAGGATCAGAAGTTCTGATAAGAGGCTGATCCATGCCAGTCAAACTCAGTTGCCAGTCAAACTCAGTACATCAACAAGGTAATCTTAAGAGTTGGCAACTTGATGCTCATTTTCTCCATGATCGCTATCTGAAATTCTTCGATCAGAAATGCAGTTGTTACATCCAATGTTTACTAGCATAGACAAGTCAGGTAGATGCATCGGTTCTGCTTATGCTTCCCTACAAATAAAATTCGTTGAAATTGACAGTTTCAGCTTATGATAATCATTCTCTCCTTTTGCTCTATGCCCTCTGGGCCGTGTGCTTGGTCACTGTCAATATTGACATGCAGTATCTGCGGTGTAGCAATGTACTTTGTTGTTGCATTTGTCAATGTTTGATAACTCCGTGTAACCCTGCATTCTAAGGTGTGTATGTTTGTCTTTCTTTAGAGTTACATGAAATTGTAAAGTTCACAATAATGCTGTAAATGAGTACTTGCTGGAATCAAAATGCCATGTCCTATGTAACTTAGGCATTTTAAAAGAAAAGGGAAATACGAATACAATAGTTTTCAAGGTGCAATGTGAAGGAAATATTTCTTTAGAAGGTAGAGAATCACAGCTTTTGTAGCTGAACCTGTTTCATGATTGTATTTTGTTTGGTTTGGGGCCTTGAGGGTGAGGTTTCATTTATCGTCCTTCAGCTTAGGTAAAGCTTGTGTTTTAGGTTCCCTGCTGTGTGTACTCATTCCACGAGGTGCAGGAAAATGTTTGGCCTTGAAGATCTAATGTCGCAGTAGCATTATGTTCTATTGTGTTTCTTTAAGATTATACTTCTTGTTTTCACGAACTATATCTGTGACCTCATATCACATGGTAAGGGCGCTGTTAATTGTTATCATTGCTGCACCAAGGCCTCCTGTTAGCAAATAGTTTGCGCAAGGCTTTTGGTTGGATACACAAATGGTGCGTGACCTGAGAGCTTAAAGACAGTAGGTTTTATCACCATCTTGAGTAGTGATGGGGCTATTCCAGCTTTCTTTTCATTGTGTTTGTCCTGTCCATCTAACTGCTGCTTAAAAAGTCAGTCCCATGTATGAATTATTTAAATGAACTCTGTTTATTCGTGTGTTTCATTTTGTGATCATGGTAACGTGTTTCTAGAAAATGCCATCTTTTGTTACATTAGCAATTGGTGAAGATACTTTTTATTTTGCTGCTTATGGGAGCATTTCTGAATAATCAGCATGGGTAGGAGAATACATATTTTTATTATTACTACTGTTACGTTTGGAAGCCAGGGATTTTTGCAGGACTGAAGTTTGGTCTCTTGCAAGTGTAGCTCTTGGGTTGATATGCATCTATGAAGAACGTTACTGATCCATGGGGAGGAGCACCGCTTCATGGTGGTAGCACTCCAATGGGACAGCCCCAGTTTCTGCCTCCAAATGCTGCTCAAGATAAAGGGCCAGTTATTGTGCATATCTATATGAGACACAGATGGCTTGACCAATCCTCTAAATCCAGTTTTCTTAGGGTATTTTGTGCTAGCTGATGGTCTTGCGTGTACCTCTTCTGGAAGTTCTGGTCGAATTTGCTTAATCGTGGTGGCACTGCAATGGGACGGCCCCAGCTTCTGCCTCAAAATGGCTCAAGATAAAGGGCCAGTTATTGTGCATGAAGACACCTAGATGAGGTGGCAGATGGCTTGACCGATCTTCTAAAGATCCTGTTTCTTAGGGTAATTTCTGTTGGCTGATGGTCTCGCGTGTCCCCCTTTTGGGAGTTTTGATCAAATGCTCTTGCGTATAGACATGCAAATACCGAATTATGTTTTGAACATCGATTAACAGATGCCTTTTACTGTTCTGACATAGCCTTGTTTGTGTTCTTCTAAGGCTGCAAATTGTAAAGGTTCAACTGGATTCTGGTTTTCTTGTCTCCCCGCTTAAGAAGTCATAAATAAGCGTGGAAAATCGATTTCTTCTCGATGTATTTCCTTTCTTGTCTGATTGGGGCAAGTTGTTGAAATTTTAAGAAGCATTGGTTGTTTTACTAACCTAATATGTATCATTCTTCTTCACTCTTCGTTCTTTCTGGAACGCCCATATTAATTTTCTGAATTCTGAACTGCAAAGCACTCAACAATGTGTACTCACCTAAGAGAAGAGAGAACTACGACTGCTACTAAACTTGGATTTTGACAGCTGAAGGATTCATCTTACTTCTGGCAGAAGACAGATTTTGTTCTGTCAGCTCTAAACGTATGTTTCATAAGTTCCTGTGGCCTTCTGGGGTTGTAAAATTGTGCAAGAACGAGTCACGCCGGAAGGGCCTCAATATCAATGGAGAATATTCTAAACCTCTTTATGCAGTGTTTCTTCTAGCTGTGTCTTTTCTTATTGATGTTCGCGTTCAACAAAAGTGATCCAACTCAGTTTTGATTGCAACTGAAATTTTGCAGATGTAATAAACGGACAAAAAAAAAAAGAAGAATGCTATCATCGATATCTTGAGGTGGTTCGTCCCACAAGTATTGAGTCCATCCACTAGCTCTGTAGTGTTCTAAGAAAGGATCCAGTTACAGTACTTCTGTATTGTACTCTAATAAACTTCTAAGCAGGAAAAAGAATTGGCTATCTACAACTCAACGAATGCGTGAGCAAATGGTTCGGTAGTGGCTTTTTCTAAAATTATTCATCCAACAAGTCTGTCTGACTTATCCTTTACACACACAAAAAAAAAAAAAAAAAAAATTGTTACAAGGTCTCTGATGACATTAAATCCTTAATCGGAAATAAAGATGATTTCGCAGGTGATTTATTACAAACATTGAGGCAATTTAAACTCAGCTTTTGTGACTGTTCCGTCTTTCAACTTCAAAGTGTATATCCAATATGCCTGTAATACCAGCCTCTATCTTTTGGCCAACCTTCACAGGACCTACACCTTGAGGAGTGCCTGTAACAAGGGATCAGTGTTATTGCAACTTCACACATACTACCAGATATGCAAATTTTCAGAACAAGCTATCCGTAACAAGAAGCGCATTTAGGCTTTCTCACCGGTTAGAATAACATCTCCTTCTAGAAGGGTGAATAGAGAACTTATGTGACTTATCAAATATGGGATCTTAAAAATCATATCTTTTGTGGAACCCTTTTGCCGAATCTCTCCATCCACCTGCAGCAGAAGATAAACCCTTTCAGGAACACGAGTAATATTTGCTAATATTTTCACCAAGAAGCCTAAGAAATGAAAAAGAAGAGCATAACCACACTTGTATTACCTTTAACCACAATTCTACATCGTGAGGGTCAGGAATCATAGAGCACGGCAACTGCAGGTTTAGGAAGATTCACTGGTTAGCATTCCTGATAAGCGAATCAAGACTTCTTCTAATGTACTTAATGAGAACTACCCACAATGTATATAAATCTTTCCACTATATATATCATTTTCCATTATTTAAGAACCAATCTTGAACAGCAATACCAAAGCAGAATTTCAGTCAACACTTACAACAGAGCTGATAGGAGTGAAAGTGTCTTGACCTTTAGAAACAGTCCATGGAAGACCCGCAGACTGGCAGACAGGATGAAAAAAGAAAGCAAAATAGTGAACAGAATATTGCAATCATTCTCACAGGCAACAGTCTCCTCATTCATTCTTTCCAGAAAGAAAATGCAATAAATATGAAAGAGATGCAAGTTGCAGGATGAATTGGGAAACCGAAAAATGACAAACACTAAAATCTACCAACAGACAGATAACAGCATATATATAAACTAGGATGCAAGATGAAAAAAAAATATGGAGAGCATGGGCATAAGAAACTAAGGATGAGAAACAATACAAAAGTTAATTCTATTTCGAAAAGAAGAATTCCACCTTAGCAACAGCTTGGATTTCCCTGGCAGTCATGTCCAATGCAAGAGCATATCCTGAATAAAACCCAGACACACTCTTTAAGAGGATTACTATTTACTAAACATGATTTATGTAAGAAAACAGAAAAGCTTGAAGATCACAATTTCATAATATATAGTACTACTATCAAATTAGAAAACCTGAATCCATTAATATCGCTCAAAGCATGACCATTTACCTCCAACATAATCCATAGCAGAGGCGACGGGAACGTCACGCGCCGTTTGGCCGATGACGACGGCGAGTTCTACCTCATGATCCAAGGATTCCAAGGGGTGAGGCACCTCGATCGTACCTCCGTTCTCCAAATACGACGACGTTGGCTTCATAAATAACACCGGCTCCTACCACCATTTTTTTATTTTTAGTACTGTCAATTGTCAATTGTTGATTTCTATTTGCGATGGATGGGAAGATCAAAGAAAAATGGAAAAAAAAAAAGAAGGAAAGAAGAAAGAAGACCTTGGGAACGGCGTTGCCGAGTTCCTTGGCGTGGGCGGCGTAATTACGACCGACGGCGATTATTTTGGTGCCGGCGGTGAGAAGCTTTTGATAGGCGGAAACGGAGGTGGCCATGGCTGACTATTGATCACTTCCCAGTTCCCAGTGAGAAGAATTTACGTTAACCCCTTCCCCCCAATGAGGTTTGTAAAAATGAGAAGATTTGGAAAAAAAAAGGACCAATAGCTCCAAAGTCCAAAGTTAATTATGATAGTATTTTTTTTAAAAAAATAAATCAAATTCAAATTATTTTGACACACTTAATACTTATTTAATTACTCATGTTGTGTGAGTTGTGTTTGTTTTGAGGGGTAAAAGATTTTGGAAGATTTTTAATGAATCATCCACAATCAGAGGCATATCTTGAATCTTAAGGGGTAAAAAGTTTTGGAAAAAAGTTGTATGAGTTTCGATTTGTTTTAAAAATTCTTAATAAAAAATTCAAAACAAAGCTAAGTTAATACAAGTAAATGATTGATATATTTTGTTCAAAAGACATTTTATCAGTGAGACACAAAAATAAAGACATATATATCCCTCCAACTGGCTCCTTCACTCTTTTTGTTCATCATTAGTCCACCATTAATTTCATCATCAAATAGCAAAACATATGTATGCAGCCCCTAATTCCTTAAACAAAGAGAAATGAACCAAATCTACAAAATTTAAATAGCTAAACTAATGAAATTTTTTGGAAAAAAACTTCTTGTTCTTGTTCCAATCATAGTACTATCTATTACTACAAACCAAACATGAAATCATCGATTAAGGCATTATATTTAAGAAACTCTACACTATAAGCTAAAGTTGAAAGAGATTGTTAGGTCCTAAACCCTGATAGAAGTTCTTGGTACGGAAGCATAAGATGATTCAGAATGGAACAATTTTCATCTCATGACAATTGCAAATATAAATAGAGAATTGTTTGAGCAGTGAAGAGGTCTTATCTCATTAATTATGTGACTATTTGATGATAGTAAAATATATACACTTTTAGCAGGCATTTTCTACTCATTTTTACTTAAAATTAGGTGTCAATTAGTTATAACTAGTTTACTTTTGGGTTGATTTTATATTTCAGGGTAATCAAGGGGCCAATGTGAAAAATCAGCACAAATGAGGGCCAAATTATACAAAAGAGCATTATTCTGGACTGAATTGGAAGCTGCTGAAATTCAAGCTACTGGAGGATCGATCAGAGTTGAAGCAAGTGGAGAAATCCTTTCTGAGGAAGGAAGAATGGCAGCAGAGGATCACAATTGGAAGGAATTTGCAGCAGCACACTTACTTGAGGAGAAGAATGGCAGTTGTTTTGCTGCCAAGTTGCTGCAGCAGAAGCTGTTGCTGCTGTCAATCAAGGAGGAGCCATGAGCTGAAATCTTGGTACCCAAGGAAGGAATTGCTTTGCCGTCGCTGCAAGTTGTTGCTGCTGCAAGTGGAAGAAGTGAAAAAGGGAATATATGTAAAGAACAGCAGTTGCAACTCTGCTACTTACCAAGTGATGTTGCTGCTGAGTTGATGGATTGGCTACTGCAAAAGGGTGAGAATGGTATAGCAAGTGACTCAAAAAACAAGGAAGAAAAGGGTAGAAGATTAAGGCTGAATTGGGGGATGGAAACACGATGATGGAAGGAAGCATGCTGCTGATGCTGCTGCTAGTTGAGCTGTGAGGATTAAAGAATGAAGAAATAGAGATTTGTGGTTGCAAATGGTAAGGATGCGCCAGAGAAGAAGCCTAAGGATAAGAAACAATGATGAGTAGAATGTGGCTGATTACGGCAGAAGAGAAGAAGGGAGCTGCCAAGAGAAAACAGCAACTTGCCAATTGGGCAAGTTACTGAATAAAAATCACTTCAGCTGCTGCAACTTGCTGCCTCCTCTAATCTGCTGCAAGGAAGGCCAGAACTCCACCAATCCATGCCTCTCCAAATCTCTATAAATAGCTAGCAATAGCAGTTAGAAAGGATGATAGATTGGGTGGTTAGAATCAGTTACAAAGACAACAATTACGTAGTTAGTTAGTTGGTTAGAAACAAGGTAGTAGCAGGAGCAAGAGTGCAGATTGTCACTCTGTCAAGTGGCGAACACCACTCGCCATATTGAGCAGAGAAACTACCCCTGCTACCATCTTTCTCTTTTATCCTCTAACCTTTAGATCTTGAATTATGTCTAATCTTTTGTACTTTGTTGCTCTCATGTTTAACTCAATAAAATGAGTAGCTAACTTAATTAAGGGTTCAATCCCTAATATCTTTACGTGAAAGTTTTTGATTCAGTTTTTCTTGATGGGGCATTGTGTCTAGATAAGTGTGTTAATTAACCTTTTGATTAAATTGACCACTTAATTAAATGTGCATGTATAAGTTATGAAGATATGAGAGGGGGAGCATAACTTTAGAACGGTTTAATCTAATATATGACAAAAGAGGAAATCTACCCTTTGGATTCAATCATCAAAGAGAGTTAGGTGATTCGCATAAGTGATAAAAGAGTGCTTATGAACTAAATCACTTAGATTAATGAATTACAACGTCTGAGAGGTAAGTAATTTAGATAATCTAGGACTCTTTATTCTGTCTGAGAGGAATTATAAAGAATATATGTGCCTGATCAAACAATAAATCATACACTACAGGATTACTTGAATCAAAACTGGATCATAAAGGTAGGAAGGTAATTGACCCTTCTGCCTCTTCACCCTGTCAAGTGACTATTCTCACTCTCCCAAGTGACAAATATGTTCAGCTCATTTACTTTCCTTTTCTTGCAATTTAATTGGATTTTGAGTGGTTGACTGCCATCTTTGTGGAACGACCCTGCTTACCACTAGCTAATAGTTTTAAGTAGGTTTTATAAATATTCTCTTGGGTTGAATCAGCGACCGTTTAGTCATCCGCCAAAAGTGGTGCCAATTGCCAGGGATGGCGTTAAAAATACTTGAAGTCTGATTATTGTATTATGTTTTTGTTCTTTTTAGTTTGCTGTTATTACTCAAGTTCACTCACTCAAATAAAAAATCTTGCTATTGTTACTTTCGTGTTTTGGTTACTGGTTTATGAATAGATAAAATCCATCAGGAGAGCTAAGTTTTGATCTAAAGATTGAAATCACGGCAATGAGATCCAAAGCCTTGCGAAACAGAGAAGCTGCTGCTCGTGTTCTTAAAAACCAGAAGCAGATGGCAGAGATAGCAGCAGCTGATCAACCTCAAGAAAGAGAGCTACAACCAACTCCACCCAGACTACTAAGAGATTATTTCGTACCCGTAGAGGAGGAAGTTCAAACTCCACTGGTGTACAATGATGTTGCAGCATAGAACTTTGAGCTCAAAACTCAAATGATTCAATGGGTGCAAGGTGCTTGTCCTTTTTATGGACTACCTAGTGAAGATCCCAATGAGCACATCAGGAAATTCCTGAGACTGTGTAGCATGTTCAAGATTCAAGGTTTGTCCAAAGATGAGGTTTACTTGAGATTGTTTTAATTCACACTGCAGGACTTAGCCACAAAATGGTTGGACACTCTGCCCAACAATTCAATCAACTCCTAGAATAGACTCAGACAAACATTCCTTACCAAGATTTTCCCGCCTGTCAAGACTACTGCTTTAAGATCAGCTATCATGACTTTTCAGCAGCATGGAACAGAGACTCTTTATGAGGCCTGGGAAAAATTTAAGGATCTAATGAGGAAGTGCCCTCAACACGGTGTAGAAAAGCCAATGTAAGTATGCATTTTCTACAATGGATTGTAGCAAGCCTCCAGAGAATCACTTGATTCATCATCTGGAGGAGCATTCATGATGAAACATGTGGAAGAAGCAATCCAGCTACTGGAAAATATGTGTGCTAACCATTTCAGATGGCAGAAGGAGCCTAGAGCTACAGCTAAGAAGGCAGGAGTGTTGGAGCTAGATGCTACAACTCAGTTGCAAGTACAGATGGCAGCCATCACCAGTGAGATATCAAAGCTGAGAGCTGACATCAACAAACCAAAGATTGATGTATGTGAAATCTGCGCAGGATCTCACCTAAGCTCTACCTGTCAAGCCACTATGGAAGAAATTCAATTCGTGAGGCAAGGAAATGACAGAGGAGGCTTCAACAATTACAACAATTGGAGGGCACAACAGAATAACAACTGGACCAATCAGCAGTCAAGCCACTAGAGGTCAGCTCAACCACCTGTATTTCAGAATCAACCATTCGGAATCAAGGAAAAAGACTGGATAGAGGTAAGATATGCCCTTGTTAATCTTGATGTCACCATTAAGGAATTGCAGGAGCAAATCACATGGATGGCTAGAAGGGTATCAGACAACACTGGAGGAGAGGATTCCATGGAGACTAAGCAGGCCAATGCAATCACACTTAAAAGTGGGAAGCAGCTACCAGGACCTAGTGCAGTAGTCTCAGAGAAGAGGAGTAGAGAGAACCAAGATGCAGAGTTACCAGAAAAAGAAACTGCAAAAGGAGATAACTAGGAGGATCAGAACACCCTTGTCATCGACTTAATGGAGGAACAACAACTGTTAAGGCGACCACCTCCATATGAGCCCAAACTACCATTCCCAGTACGAGATCCAAAGAAAAATAAAGAAGCTAAAATGAAGAAATTTGTTCAGCACTTGGAGAATCTTCACATCAATGTCCCGTTGATAGATGCTTTTCGACAAATGCCGAAATAATTCAAGCATCTAAAGGAGCTGGTGACGAGTAAACCAAGGATCCATGACTGCTCATTCATTACTCTAATCGAGGAATGCAGTGCAGTGCTTCAAAAAAAGCTACCTGCAAAACTCAAGGATCTAGGGAGCTTTACTCTACCATGTACAGTAGGGAACATGAGTATCAAGAAGGCCCTACTGGACTTGGGAGCAAGCATTAAGCTAATGCCCCTTTCGGTTTTTAAAGCATTGGGAATCGATGAGGTGCTAACCCCCACCAACATCACTCTGCAGCTGGTTGACAGATCACTTACCTACCCAAAATGCGTGATCCAAGATATACTGGTAAAAGTTGGAACATTCATATATCAAACAAATTTCAGGGTGCTCGATATGGAAAAAGATACAGATGTCCCTTTCATCCTTGGGAGACCATTCCTTGCAACCTGTGATGCTGTGATTGAAGTTAAGAAGGGAGCGGTCACCTTACAGTTCG